ACAACAAATATTCGAGTACAAAGTAACTCAGATATGTGTTTTAAGATTTCAATATTTAAGAAACTGATGTCTGGAGTGCTGTTTTTCAAACCTTCTATAGTATTATAGACTTCTAAGGCTGTTGTGTTTTCCAAAAAGAAAGTATTATAAATACAGTAGAGCATCGTTTATCCGAAGGTCGGTTATCCGAAACGTCGGTTATCCGAAGGAATTCCAGTCGACAAATTTAAATTTTCGCCAGTGCTGTGGCGCTGTAATCTTTGGCTATGTCTTCGGCTACTCAAATATTTTACGTTTTTGATACTAAATTAACTTCTGAAGTATAATTTTTTATTGTTTTTATATTTTTCAATATATTTATTTTGTTTGTACAAAATAAAAAAATAATTTTTAATGATACAATAGTCTTCGTTAGACTTAACATCGACGAAAATTCAATGTGAAGCGACGGACACACAACGGAGAAAAATGTCAAGATGGGATAAATTAATATATTTTTTTGTACATAATCGGTTATCTGAAACATCGATCTTCCGAACAACCCAGTCCCCAATTGATTCGGATAATCGACACTCTACTGTATCATAAAACCACAATAAAATTTGTTTTAAAAAATATACCTCTTTGTTATTTCATATTCAACACATTGTGTAAAACATATAAATCCATAGCATTCTTGCTGCTTTAAAAATGTATAGGACTACTGTAAAATAAAGCTAACATAAATAAATACAAGATTCCTCAAGTTACATTGCATTCCCAGATATCTGTAAGTGATTTTCTTGCAATTTTTAGTGTCAAAACGACTTTACATTTTTAGTTCCTGTTACACTCTTATGAGCTATGCTTCCACCTTTCATTTCCATAAGTCTTTAATGTATGTTTTACAATTCATATTATTATTAATCTTTTCTGTCATTTCTAAATTTATATTAATTTTTTTTATTACTCATTTTACTTTACTTTCACATATAAATTATTTACAAATTTGTATTCTTAAAGGAACAAATCATTTTGTATATTACAAAATGATACATATTGTATTAAACTTTCTTTTATGAATTGCAATGTAAGAAAAGTAGTGTATTGTCCAAGATAACAAAATTCTATGTCCAATTTCTTTTTTCCAATGATAAGTGGAGCAGCTCAAAAGAACTAAAATTTATTATAATGGTATCATTACTCTATTAAAGCATTGGTTTTATCTTATAATATCATCATTATAATAAAGATATACTATACTTAATTTACTAAATATACTATTCTTATATTTTATACTAAAATAATAAAATCATTAAATATTATAATAGCATCCTTATATAATAATAAAAAAATGTGAAAGGGAAGAATTTAAAGATCATAGAATTTCAATAAACAGTTCATATTGATAGCTTATTTATTTATTTAAATCTGCAAAGTAATGCAATATAACATGTGATGACTATCTCCCAGCAAAACAAGTAGTTTGCCCCATAAAAATAATAGTAACGAAGTACACCAAACTAATAAAATGAAAATACATAATTAAAAACTTGAGAACAAGATATAAACATTACAAGATGCATAAAAATTAATGTACTGTGTATAATATAAAAACAGTAAAAAATAAAAGAGTTAAAAATTATAAAATAAATCTACCATTTGTTGGATTACAGAGACGTATTACATAGAGATCTAATATACAGCAATCCAGTTATATAGCGAAAATAAATATAATATATGTATAAATAATAAAAAACAAACAATTATAAATGGTAAATTATAAAGCATTTTTTTACATTTAGATTTAAAACTTAAAAAATCAAAAAATAAAAACAGCTCAAAATTTAAAGTTGCTATAATAGAGAAAAAAAAATGACCATCTAGATAAAGAAAGATGAAAATAAAGAAATAACAAAAAAGATAAATTTTTAGTTTGTCTAGAAGAAACATGGTGAAAAAAGTAACCAATTAAAATACTAATAATATAATATATAATCAAAATAATTAATATGTGTAAGGAATTTTGGAAATCCAAATCTTATTCATACCACCTTGCATGAGAGTATAAGACTTAGCTTATTAAACAAAGGATGTTCAAAGTCCCTACAAAGTGTGTTCAAAATTTTCTTAAGACATGAAGGAGTTGCTCTTAACTATACCTGAAGGCAATAGTCAATCAGAGATTGTAAACTTGTATAGATGAGAGATTTCAAAGCTGAGCATGATAAAATTAAGCTACAGTGATGCCACAAGATTCCTCTTCTGATAGTAAATTTTTTACTAGTTTATCAATATAATGTTTAAAAGCAAATTTTTAAAAATCAAAGATAACTCCAAGGTCACTGTTAGAACGAACCTAATTTACTACCCAATAATGTAAAAACTATAATTTGGACTTCTTAAACTTATCTTTTTATGTACTGTTATATGGTAGTCATGCATGATACACTGCTTAATATTTTTTTGTGATATTGCATAATCACAAAAAAGTATTAAGCAGTTATTATTCCACAACATTTTTTTGTTGTGGAATAATAAATAATTTATTTCAGAAACCAATATGATTAACTCCATATTCTGAAGTAAATCATTGCAATAAATTTACATTATATTTATATTATTTCAGTTGTCATGATTTAAATAAAAATGCAAGCCATATGGTTCCACTTAGGTGATTGTGTGAACATGCAGAACACGAGAATTTGGGCTAGTGAAAATCCACATCAATTGTACCAAGTCCTACTGCATGAGGAAAAAATTGGTGTTTGGTGTACTGTTTTCTGCCAAAGAATTATTGGCCCAATAATATTCTTTGAGATAAGCTGTCTTTTAAACTATTCCTTGAGCCTGTACATTATTAAAATTTATTTTTAAATAATATGATGTTGTAACTATAAGATATTGTGTTGCAGAAAATTTATTTTATAAATAATAAACTTATTAAATACATTAATAAATAAAATTAATAAACTTACTAAATAAATGGACACTCTTCTGCACAAGTGCTTGCCAATTTTCCACACTCATTTTTTTCAAGATTTTTCCAAAAGAACTGGATGGAATTGAATTATCATAAGTTACATAATACCAATCTAAATGAAAAAATGAAGAATTTTGAGAAGCAATACCTTTATATTCAATACAATCATATAATCATATAGACAAAATTAGTTTTTAAGGAAATTTAATGTAGGAAAAAAATTTGAGTTTAAAAAAATAATTATCAATTATTATATAAATCACCACTCAAAATAGTTAAATGAAAATAGGATAGACAAGGTGTTACATCTTACCTTTTTAGACATCAAAATTTTAACTCAAAAAAATTCAGTGTTTTTTGTGTTATTTTTAATAATTCAAAATGTTTTTGACATTTCAAAACAGCATCTTCAGGAAAATAAACAAACTAAAGTATATAAAAACTTTTTAAATCATTATAGATGAGTGGTTAGTCAATCTGGTTAATGATTAAGATTTTTTGCATGAAATACAGCTAAAAAGATAAAAAGGTTTTGTTTTGGGGTTGGGAATGGATTAATTCATTTTACATTCTTTCTCATGGAAAATTTGTTTCAGTTTGAGAACAAATCATCTTTCAAACAACTTTTAGGAATGAATTAAATTTGTAAACTGAGATATGACTGTATACGTTTTTGATATTTAGTGTTTGCATCTTCACTTTTACTGAAGCAAAAATTCATTGTATATATTAAAAATGTAGTGTTACTTTTTAAATTATTTTATCATAAAAATGTTTAAACTGAACACTTGTAAGGTAGAAGTAAAAGTAAAAATATTAAATTAATTAGATTTAAATTATTAAAAAATTACAACAGGTGTGGAACTTAGTAGATTAGAACATGGAATCCAGTCTGAAAATAAGTTTTAACCCAAAAGTACTTAATAGGTTTATAAGTTTGTAAATATTATTACTCTATTAAAATAGTTCATCACACATCAAATTTCAACAGCATAATTTTTTTAAAAATTTTGGATTAGATTCAATTCTGATAGGAAAACTTAAATAAATTTTATAAAAGTAAAAATACTAACATACCATTTATCTGATCCATTACATTTATTCCCCAATCAGCACGAATTAAATTACTAAGAATATTATCAAATTTTTCACGAGATTCATTATCTATTAAGCAGTCACGAAATATTCTGCTTACTTCATATGCCCAAATATGTAGTAATTCTTCAGAGGAATTATTTGATTTAAACATATTAAAATCATATCGAAGTAATGAAATTACTAATTCAGTTAAACATTTTGGAGTAAATTGATAATGATTATTTTCATCTGAGTGAAATCTTGATTTAACCTGAAAATAAAAATTGTTGTAACAAAGAAATCTTGAAAATAAAAAATAGTTATTGTCTTCTGAATTTAATATAACCTTTGTAAAATTTTAATTTACATTAAAAATATTGCTCTTTTTTTGTAAAAGATGGAAACACAATCCATAATATTATTTATACTTTTTCAAGTCTTTCAACCAATTTATTAAGTCTATTTCTAGAAATAAATTATTATTAATCAAAGTAGCATTAATTGATTTTGCTTGAAATTATAAGTAAATTATACAATCATCATATTTATATTGTTAAATTTAAAATCAATGAGATAGAAATTATTTTAAAATTGCTTAGAAACATAATTTGTCAATTCTAATTAATATTCACACTTTTAAACAAAAACATTATAAAATTTCTTCTTAATACTGTATTTATATAGGTATTAAAAATATCTGATAATTCTTGAGATTCATTGTTGCTTTTTGTTACTTCCATTTTGTGGAATAAACAGAGTTCTAGAAATTCTGTTAGTTCTAGAAATAAGTAACTCTGATAATTATAGTAATTTATAGAAGCAGTAACTTCATTTAATTAGTAGTTCTACATTAATAAATTTGACATTTGATTTTATCAACAGTTTTCTGCGTAAACACAACAATAGGCAATCATCAGACATTCGATTTTAATCTTTTTCTAAACTTTATACTATTAAGCCCAACATATTCTGAAATGCTTATATCTTTATCTACACGGGCAGTCAAAAAGTTCTTAGAATTGTGGTGTAGCACTGTATTGGTAGAGAAACATTTATCCAATCATTTTTAAAGTAGGATCATTTAGCACAAATACACTTGTCCCATTGATCCTGCCATTGTTGGAAGCTTCATTAAAAGGCTTTTTTTTTTTAAATATTCTAGAGTTTGGTCATCACATTTGATTTGATTTTGACTTGACCCCTGCAACATGCATCTCCTTGAGATTTCTTTTCAGCATAGAGAACAGTCAAAAGTCACTCAGAGCAACATCCAAATATTAAGATACAGTCATCAGAGTGACACACAGCATTGTCTCCCTGACCAAAGAAATCAAGCATCATCAAATCAAAGGAAAATGATTACTGCATTATTCTTTGAAACAGATGGTGTGGTATACCATGAGTTCACAATATCTGTATTAATGATCATTTCTACATGCAGGTTTTGCATAAGTTACAAGATGTAGTTTGGTGAAAAAAGCACAAGTGGTGGGAAGGATGGTTTCTGCATCATGATAATGCACTGAATCACTCATCATGTGCTGTGCAGCAATTCTTTGCCAACAAAAGACTTACTGTCATTGCCAAACCATTATATTCAGCACATTTTGTTCCAAGTGACTTTTAGCTATTCCCTATGCTGAAAATGGGTCTCAATGGAATGCATTTTGCAACCATGGAGAACGTAAAATTGAATGCGACAACTGAACTCCTGAATATTCCAAAAGAAAAGAAGTGTTCCAATGATAATTCCAACAATGGCAATATTGATAGGTAAAGTATGTATGTGCTAAAGGATTCTACTTTTATAATGATTAGGTAAGCATTTCCATATGTCCTACCATTACAGTGCTATATCACAATTCTGGAAGCATTTTGATTGCCTGTGTATAATCTTAATGAAATAAAAACCAACTTATCATAGTTATATAATTTTCTTTATATTCTATTTTCTATCTTCAGAAAATAAAAAAAAAATTTAATTTAAAAATATTGATTAAATTCAGAAGACGAATTATACAATACACTGTATTTTTGTAGATTGACCAGTAGACAGTAGACCCCTCTATAACACAGTAGATACGTTCCATGTTATATGAATTCCGTGTTGTACAAGTCACTTAAATACATGAGCCAATCACAGCCCAGCACAGCTGCAGTTTAGGGACTACAGCTGTTTGAAAGGTTTTCTTCCATAAAATTAATCGATTCTAGACTAATTTGACTTAACATTTCCAAAAAACATAATTTTTTGGGAATAATTTATATAAACTATGCTATAAACAAAAAATTGTAGGATTACTTACCGAGTGTGCACCATTCGACAATGCCATTGCTTAAGCTTGTTTTCATCGCGGAGCATCTGATTGAATAGCGGGCGCGTTTTCTGATAAGTTATTTTTTTGCAAAAAATTCGCTAAACTTTGGAGATATCATTAATAAAAATATAATTTTTATGGCTGTTGAATAATAAATGTTTTTTAGTAGGTTCAGTGCTCGTTTAAACTCAACAGTTTGTGCAATATCCGCTTTGGTCCAGATTCGACCAATCCTGTCATCACACGAGTCGGCGATGACATTTTACTGTGTTATACGAGTCTCTTTTAGCATGTTATATGAACACAATTGCAATTTTTTTGCCATGTTATACGAATCCGTGTTATATGGACCCGTGTTATAGGGGGGTCTACTGTACCTCAAGTTTACCTCCTACTGCTAATGTCAATAAGCTACTAATTATTTTATTATCTTATAAACAAAAACTTCCTTCCCAGTTATAAGTAAATCAAATTATAATGTTATTGTTTTATTGTACTTGAAAGAATATTTTTTAACATTTAAAACTAGTTTTGTCAGATCTGATAAATTTTATTTTTTAGTTACAGTTTAACTAAAGGATTACCAGCATGCCAGCTGGTAATCCTGTTGTTTCTGACATGCTTGTTTCCTCCAGTCATACCCAGCATGCCAGTCAATCCATGAAAATATGGTAATTAATTAAAAGTATTAAAATTATCAGTTTTGAATCTGAAAATTTTAAAAATAAATGTATTTCTCAGAATATGGAACAGGTTCATAATCTTTTTATGAAAAAAAATCATGAAAATTTTCAATGTTACATCCTTTTTTCATAATATGATAATTATATTTCAAAATAATTATAATTTTGAAATTAAATTTTGACAAAGATTTTTGCAATTTGTATATATACAGAAAATGCATCTTTAATATTAGCAATTAAATGTTTTAATCTATAAAAAGAGAAAAGGAAATTAATTCATTTTTTAAATCATTATAGATGAGTGGTTAGTCAATCTGGTTAATGATTAAGATTTTTTGCATGAAATACAGCTAAAAAGATAAAAAGGTTTTGTTTTGGGGTTGGGAATGGATTAATTCATTTTACATTCTTTCTCATGGAAAATTTGTTTCAGTTTGAGAACAAATCATCTTTCAAACAACTTTTAGGAATGAATTAAATNATTTTGTAGTTCCTTAATTATTTATTTATTTAAAATATACTTACAGATTTTAAATCATTTTTGAAGTGAGTTATTGAATAATTACGGTGAATCTTTGGAGTAAAATATGCAATTTGATGCATGTGAGAGACTATTCTTGTAGCTAAACGTCTTCCGACACCACTTACACCAGCTAAGAGCAATGAGCCCCTTGGTTTGGTAAGTACACGATCAATACGAGCTAAATAATTTAAAACTTCTTGAAATATAACAATATTTATTTCTTGCACTTCATGATCTGAAAAAATATAACAAGTAATAAATATTCAAATTTACACAACTGAAACCCAATATAATAATTTATAGTTGATTCGTTTTTTGAAACCGTGTTTTCGTATTTATTTACTATTGAACACAAGACTGTTATTATTAAAACACTTGGCGTTTATCCACTTTATACGGGCACTTTTACACGTTTCGGGCATATAGCCCCTCATCAGTCAACATTTAAAAAATTTGAAATTTTTTAAATGTTGACATCATCTATTAAAAAATTTGAAATTTTTTAAATGTTGACTGATGAGGGGCTATACACCCGAAACGTGTAAAAGTGCCCGTATAAAGTGGATAAACGCCAAGTGTTTTAATAATAACACAGTCTTGTGTTCAATAGTAAATAATAATTTATATATATANACTTATCATAGTTATATAATTTTCTTTATATTCTATTTTCTATCTTCAGAAAATAAAAAAAAAATTTAATTTAAAAATATTGATTAAATTCAGAAGACGAATTATACAATACACTGTATTTTTGTAGATTGACCAGTAGACAGTAGACCCCTCTATAACACAGTAGATACGTTCCATGTTATATGAATTCCGTGTTGTACAAGTCACTTAAATACATGAGCCAATCACAGCCCAGCACAGCTGCAGTTTAGGGACTACAGCTGTTTGAAAGGTTTTCTTCCATAAAATTAATCGATTCTAGACTAATTTGACTTAACATTTCCAAAAAACATAATTTTTTGGGAATAATTTATATAAACTATGCTATAAACAAAAAATTGTAGGATTACTTACCGAGTGTGCACCATTCGACAATGCCATTGCTTAAGCTTGTTTTCATCGCGGAGCATCTGATTGAATAGCGGGCGCGTTTTCTGATAAGTTATTTTTTTGCAAAAAATTCGCTAAACTTTGGAGATATCATTAATAAAAATATAATTTTTATGGCTGTTGAATAATAAATGTTTTTTAGTAGGTTCAGTGCTCGTTTAAACTCAACAGTTTGTGCAATATCCGCTTTGGTCCAGATTCGACCAATCCTGTCATCACACGAGTCGGCGATGACATTTTACTGTGTTATACGAGTCTCTTTTAGCATGTTATATGAACACAATTGCAATTTTTTTGCCATGTTATACGAATCCGTGTTATATGGACCCGTGTTATAGGGGGGTCTACTGTACCTCAAGTTTACCTCCTACTGCTAATGTCAATAAGCTACTAATTATTTTATTATCTTATAAACAAAAACTTCCTTCCCAGTTATAAGTAAATCAAATTATAATGTTATTGTTTTATTGTACTTGAAAGAATATTTTTTAACATTTAAAACTAGTTTTGTCAGATCTGATAAATTTTATTTTTTAGTTACAGTTTAACTAAAGGATTACCAGCATGCCAGCTGGTAATCCTGTTGTTTCTGACATGCTTGTTTCCTCCAGTCATACCCAGCATGCCAGTCAATCCATGAAAATATGGTAATTAATTAAAAGTATTAAAATTATCAGTTTTGAATCTGAAAATTTTAAAAATAAATGTATTTCTCAGAATATGGAACAGGTTCATAATCTTTTTATGAAAAAAAATCATGAAAATTTTCAATGTTACATCCTTTTTTCATAATATGATAATTATATTTCAAAATAATTATAATTTTGAAATTAAATTTTGACAAAGATTTTTGCAATTTGTATATATACAGAAAATGCATCTTTAATATTAGCAATTAAATGTTTTAATCTATAAAAAGAGAAAAGGAAATTAATTCATATATTTTTAAACTTTACATTATTTCAACTTGAAAATGTTATTAGAAAAACTAGTTTTTCTTACAAAAAATAATTTCAATATAAACCATAAAATTATATTTAGTATAGCTTAAATATTAAATTTACTTTACTTTATCTGCCAAAAATTTTGGTGCAATATATATATTGATATATACATTGCTTTTTTCCCTTCATGCTTGTTTTTTTGTTACCATATATACTATTAATGTTTCAAAAACAACTGTAATATGTTATTGACTACTTAAATCAATTAAAAACACTTAATTTCCATTATAAAATAGCATAAGTTTTCTTTAAAATGATTAATAAATAACCTGACAGGTAAAAAGAAACGATAAAATAAAAAATGAAATTCTTTCTGATTATACAGGGTGTCCCATGTAAAATGGTCTTACACCAATTGTGTAAATAATTCTAATCTTCATATTAGAAGAAAAGGGCAAATGAGACAAAATAAAATTAGACAGAAAAACGTCTTTGAAAACTTTTATTCACAAAATGCATTTGCACTTGGAAATGTGCACAACCAATACATCATTGTTTAAGGCAGGGGTGGGAACCTGCACCCCAGGCCACATGTGGCATGCATTAATAATTTGTGTGGCCTGCATAGCACAAAATATTAATAAATATATCAATTTCCAAACTTAAGAAAGTATGCAGCAAGAATTTTAATGTTATTTTCTACAACTTAGTAAAAATTTAATAAAAAGTAAAAGAAGAAATTGGCTAACACACTCTCATCAAAACTAATTTAAAACTAACAGTGACTAATATTCAACCAAATATTTTGGATATATTAGCCTCAGATCAGGGACAGAAATCAAATTAAGTATACTTATGTTAATTTATAGTCATATATGAATAAATAATTGTGATTTACTTGATTTTGTTTTCTTTTTTATTTTGTGTGGCTTGCGTCAGTTCAGAAGTTTTAAATATGAGCCTTACATAAAAAAAAATTGCCTAACCCTGGTTTAAGGAGTCTAGTTTTATGTGGATACCCTGTATTTATTTATTGACTAATTATAAGTTATAAATATGTTAACTTGACAAACTGATGATTTTTGAATTTTACATCCTTACATCCAGTTATATGTTAACCATAAAAAATTTTAAGGTAAAGGTTTATATGTAATTTATAAAAACTTATCTTAGACTCTGAATAAAAATCCTTTGTTTCTTTCATTAAGAATAGTTGAATAAATGTAAATAAAAAACATAATAAATATCAAATGAACAGCTAGATTCTTTTATTGGGATAATCAATTAATAAAAAATTTAGCTAGAGGTAAGCAGTTATGACACCACATTGTATCAAATTTAATAATTAAATAAATAAATTTAATTTAGAATATTCTGGTAGAAAACAGACAAAAGTGGGATTCTAACCCATAACTCCTGCTTTCCAACTTGTACAGTCCAGTTTCATTAATATTTAAAACTATTGTTAACATATTCTAGGAGTAAGTTGTTCTCTATTAATATTTAGAACACTTACTACCATATTTTGGTCTGTATAGGAAAAAGCATTTTTGCATGATGACACTAGCATTTTAGAACTAAACATATATCAGGCATCTTCAATGATATACAGTTGTTTTAAATTGTCCTTACATTACAGTTGTTTTGAGCCATTTGTAACATATTGTGAATAACAAAAAAATCATATGAAACAAAAAATGCAGTATTTGGTATTGGTTACTTAGGAACATGTAATATACATTATATTATGATTCTTTTATTCAACAAAAATTTTGGTATTTGGTTGTTATATATATATATAACAACCAAATACCAAAATTTTTGTTGAATAAAAGAATCATAATATAATGTATATTACATGTTCCTAAGTAACCAATACCAAATACTGCATTTTTTGTTTCATATGATTTTTTTGTTATTCACAATATGTTACAAATGGCTCAAAACAACTGTAATGTAAGGACAATTTAAAACAACTGTATATCATTGAAGATGCCTGATATATGTTTAGTTCTAAAATGCTAGTGTCATCATGCAAAAATGCNAAATAAAATAATCTGTCACTTTTTAAAATTAAATTTCTATGTTATAATGTGGTGTACCACCATATTGTTCTCTTCGTATAAAATGAAAATATGTAGATATTTCCCTTTTTTTTCTTTCTTCCCTCCTTGTCCTTTGTTCCATGGAACATTCTGGAACCTTCGAACCACGTGGGGGAATCGACCTACTTGGAAAACAAAAGGGTAAAAGGGGAGCCCTGAGGGTGAGAATGAGGAGGAACGGCCACTCTTAGCCCGGGCGCCACAGTGGAAGGACGTGAAGGAGAGATCTCTGGACTGTTTTCGCAGCAGTCAGGGATATAGACCTGGACGATAGGATAAGGACGGGTGTCGAAGGACCTACGGAACTTTGGTATTGGAGATCGCACGAGATTAGTTGCGGAAGATCCCTTATCCAGCATAGTGAATATTTCCCCGGCTCCCCTCAGCGAACCGAGAAGAGTACGTATTGGCCATCTTCACTAAGACTAGAGCGTCGATCATCTTTGGGTACCCATCTCTCATTCCCGTTTCATTCTATACGTCTTAAATTCTGTCCCTTTCCCTTTCCGTTTTATTCTTGATAATTAGTAATTAGTTTTAAGCCTTATATGTATACGTATTTTTGTCGCGATCTAAATTGTCGGTTAGATCTTAACTTCGTCGTGGTTTTGTCTCAACATTCCTACCTGCGTGTGGATTCTTTGTTCCTACGGGTAAGCCCAGTACCTAAGGGAGTGTCGGAATCAAAAGATCCTGTAGTACTAAAATTTAAAAGGAGTAACCTAACGGTGAAAATTAAAGTTTTTTCGTTGTTTCATTCGTATTCCCTTTTTCTTGCTTTAACAACTCACCATTTGGTGACCACAATAACTTGAGTGATTATTATTTATTATTGACTACTATATAAAATTTTCATTATTAGACAAAGAAATTATTACCTGTTTCAATATATCCACCATAGATCCTGCTAATTGCTGGATATTATTAAAAGAGGTCCACACTGAATTATCTTTAAAATTATAAAGTAATATAGGTTTAAGATATGAAGTATAAATAAGCTTCAGCTGTTCATCATCTGGATAACTAGATATAAGAAAAAGAAATATTATTTTTATAAAAAAATTATAAAATCTACCAAAAATCATTTACATCACTGAATATCAAAATAAATAATAAATAACTATCAAATATTCAGAATATTTTATTGTGGATTTCAAAATAAATCTCAAATGCAATTTTTAAAATTATCAAATATTTCAGCTGTAGCTAAAATGCTTGACTATTCTAGGAACTTGCATTTTAATTTACTTTTAATTATATTGCTTATTTTGCCCTTATTATCTATAGTAAATATTTTGTAAAAACTTAAGTAAATAACAGAATTTAACATCATTACAAATAAATACATAAAGAGGAGATGGTTTTCTTCTAGAAGTTAAATGTTTTGTTTATTATTGATAGTTAAAAACCTATTAGCACTAGCAGAATGCATAATTAATAAAGAAATTGAAGTGAGAAGGAGAATAAAATAAAATAATTTGAAGAATTGTAAGAATTAACCATTAACTATTACTGAAGAGCTAAGAGCTGCTTCAAGAATTATACTGAGGAGGAAAAATAATTAGTATAAAAAAATTTGGGTTTGGACCATAATTTATGGCCCAAACCCAAACTGAAGTCTTCCTCACTTGAGGGCTAAGGTCCAGACCACACTAAAATTTAAAAATAATTAATAAAAATAATAAAATAAATATATTAATATTAAGGTAAGAAAAATATTATGACCATAAAAAGACATATCCAATTTAATAGGAAATAAAAGAGTTGTTCTCAGATTTAAACAAAAGAAGAATAGACAATATAAGTTCTAAGATCAACTATCTCTGATTGGGATCAAATTGACAGTTGATTTTCACTCATCCCATGATCTGAGTTCTGATCTCATTACATTTAGTAATGAGTGCTGACCAATTAGAAAGTGGAGATGAGGAAAAATAACCAATTGAAGTGGATGATCTGGGATCCAAAATGGATAAAAATTTGTGTTATAAAGACACAGAGAGCTTCTTTCCTGATTTCCTGTTGTGTGGTGCCATACAGAAGTACTTTGTTCATGTTGCCCGTCATGGGCAACATGAACAAAGTACTTCTGTATGGCACCACACAACACCCGTGCCAGGAAGGATTCATATCTCACTGAGAACAACCAGTGCTTATACCTTGGGATAAATGACTCTGCCTTGGACTATCAGCACAACACCCCATAAATAGGGAACTGCCTGAGATTCTCATCTAATACTCTTCTATAAGAGTAATACATCTGTAAGATATTTTTTTCTTTATGTTGTAATAAATCAGAACGAAATCTATGTAACTGTAGTGTCTATCTCTGTGCCTAACTTATCCACTTATGAACAGGAACTACTCTGACATTCTGACATTTATGTGGATCAGAGACCTCACAGTAATTCAACCCTAAATTGCCCAATCTACTTTAATTTGGTGACCTAGAATGCTTTGCAAGAATTGTCAGATAAAGTTGCAAAGTTTGCAGCATACTACATGACATGCTATTACTGGAGATATGCATATGACCCTAGGAAGTTGTTTTCAGGTTCTTTTTCCCCATTACCTGTTTATTCAGGCTAAAGGTAGAAGAATCCTTTATAGGATATTCCAATTATGTTCTTAAATTTTCATAAAAATTACTCAAAAACTGGAAAATATATTTCTAGAAGACATGAAGACCTGAAGCAGGATTATTAACAAGGCTGAAAATGTTTGTCAATTTTCATTAAACATTTGTTAGAATTTATTTTAGTTATCTTCATGTCTTCTAAATTTTCATATAAAATAGTATTCATTATTTTTATTTATAAAATTTCAAAGAGTTTCGTAAAACATTTTGATTGTATTGTGGTCTGTGGAGTCATGGTAATTTAATGATACAACATTGAATTTCTAACAAGAAGTTCAATGTTGTATCATTAAACTATCATGGATCCTAACAATTGATATAGTAACAATTCTTTACATAGTCTACTACATAAAGAATTGTTATTATATTATTATATTACAGGTATACCTCGCCTTACATCGGTAATTGGTTCCAGGAGAACAACGTAAGTCAAAAAACGACGTAAGTTGAATTTACTTGTCTCCGAATCTACTTGTCACTAGGCTAAACCGTAAATTACCCTTCCCGATTCTGTATTTTATTTATTAATGCATTTTTAATAATATATGGTTAATAAGGATTTATTTTAAGCTTACAAACAAATAAATTTTAGTTTTTAATATAGTACAGAAAAAAGTATTCTAAATTTACGAATGCATGTACTGTAAATACAGAACATACTCGTATATATTTTAATATGATTTTATGTGCTTTAAACGTTTTTATAGTGATATTACGACTTCAATATTTGTGGCAGACAGACGTATAGTCGAATAAAATGACTTAAACTTCATTTTTATTTTTCCATATACTTTTTTGACAAACGACGTATAATCGGGAATGACATAACTCGAAACGATGTAAGTCGAGGTATGCCTGTATATTATATTATATTAATTCTTATTATGTTATTATTATTCTATTATGATATTATATATTAATTTTTCTTCAGTTTTTTATTTGTTTATCTTTTATCCAACAAATGTTATTAACAGTTTAAAGTTAAAAAAGTTCATATCAGCAGTGTTTATTTCATTAATTCTTATTCTATGCATGTAAATTAAAATCTCAAGCTTTCATATTACCTGACAGCACAAATTCTGACTAATGAAGTAAATCGAGAGGATAGAGAATGCTTTCCAAGTGATGTTCCAGAACTAAAACTACTTATTATTTGAATTCCATCTAAAGTAATCCATTCAAGATGATCATCATAAAATCCTTGATAAGTTAAAACCTATAAATTTAATTCATAAAATTAATGAAAATATATTTAAATTATAGATATTAGAAAGTTATTCATATAAAAAAAATATATAAAATAACAATACTGCAAAAAACAAATTAATACATTTATTACAAAGAAAGAAATTTAAGCGTACTTAGAATTCAAAGTAAAATAAGACATAAATTCATAAATATACATATTATGTAACAATAAAAATCAATTCAGTGTGATATAAATAATATATAATTGTTGCAAACTTATCATTAAAAAATTCACATAAAGGAAAATAATTTAAGTTTTCATAAATGTCACATCTAATGACACCAAATAAACTTATTTCTCATGGATGTGTAGTGGAAATGTATCATTAAATGTTATAAAGTTAAATTTATAAAGGTAAAAATAAGCAAAGTCAATTCTAACAATTATTTCAATATGTATCAAAATAAAATCAGATGTTCTTAACAACTTATCATGTTAGAAAACTGAAAATAGCTACTGCACATGTGAAATAAAATTCTGTCAAGAATTGCTATAAAACCATTGCATAAATTGATCTAGACTCAGAAAGTTAGATAAAAGTTTTGGATAAAATATATTCATTTTTTTAATGTTTTAAGTCTTTAATACTTAGAAATATATACTGGCATGCTTAGTATCATTTACTTACTCTATAGTGAATATAAAACACAGTTATAAGCACTTTCATATCACTAAACAATTTATAACAATTAAGTGACTCAATTTAAGGTAAAACTACCATATTTATTTGATTCTAAGCTGCACTTTTTTGCATTTTAATGTCACTGAAAATCAGGTGAGGCTTACACTCAAAGATGGCTAAAACTTAACCGAAAAGCCAATTCTTAAAAGTACTCTAAATCTATGCTATATGATGTCTACTATCCCAACCTAATTTCATTATTATCTGACCAGTAGGTTTTAGTCAGGATTCTTTTTTCAGAAATGATCCATTGATATGCCATAGGATAATATTGGGTCACTTATTTTGCAGTATTTTTAACCTATTGAGGTGTTTTAACTCTATAAAAAATTAATTGAAACAAAATAATAGTGAATTGATAATAATCCTTCACAGTATGATGGACCAACTTCAGCTGCTTGATATTTGCATCAATAATCTTTTAAGGACTACATAAGAAGAATATAAAAATTAGTTACATTTGGAAAACCATACTTTAACCACTTCTGGGAAAGTAAAGAAGCAAGTGCTTTGAAAATTGCAAAATGGGTATATGTCACCTGGAAAAAGTTCCTAATAAAATAATAATTCATTCCTTTAGAAAGTGCTGCATAACAAATGCAATAGATAGCACAGAAGATGACTAATTTGGGAAAATGACAACACCAACACTGGTTCCAAAATCAGTTGTGATAGTGAGACTGACAAATAATTTCCACAATATGATAGTGAGAGCAATTAAGATTTACTTTAACTGTATTTAAGATTTTTTAAAATAAATTAATTCTTCACTCATTATTTCTCATTTTTTGAACTTTGTAAATAAATCTTATTACTGATATTTTTTATTTTTTCATGAAAACCTGTTGAGAAATTGAAGTGTGGCTTAGAATTGAATAAATACAGTACTTTCTCATCAATTTTACAGCTGAGAGCATTGGAAATATGTCACTAAACATGCATTATATAATTTCATCAATAATTGTTATAAAACATTGGCACATAAACTCAAATTGAATGAACTTACAGTATTTCAAAAATTAAAATCACTACATTAAGAGGATAATAATGTGAGGCTCTGGACAGGTCCAAACCCTCACTAAAATTCGCGGAAAATAATTGTTTTAGAGAAAAAATATTTAGTAGTTAGAAATATATTTTTATTCTATGAAAACGCGACGCTAGACAATAGAAGACTTTTAAACAATAAAAGAAAGTAAGTCCGTTGATCATTTCCGGTGGGAGATCGAATTAAACTTCGATTTTGACCTCTCCCGCGCCCCCGAAAGGTTTCGAATTGTCATCAGGTGACGACGGGAGACCAATCGGAAAGGGGAATCTGAGAGAAAACAGATAAAACCCCGGAAATTCGAGGACGCGACGGCTTCTTCTCCCAAAAGTTCCAAGTGACGGATCTATTGCTGTGTGTGTGTCTCGCACCCTTCTTCATCTCCATCTCCCAACCTCGGATCGACGTCTTTCCATCAACGGAAGTCGACCGCATCGTCCTGGAGTCATCGAGACGTGATGGAATGGTTCATTCGCGAACAAGAGACACTCCTTCAAAATGGGACTATCTTGGAAAGGAGAGGAAGACCCAGAGGCCGCAGCCGCCGCAGAACTTCCAAGATCGCGGAAATCTTGTAAGCTTCTTTCGTGTTTAATAAACGGTTGTGTTGTTTGTAAACGAAGCATCTATCTCTGACTCAACTGCTTCCACATGTCGTTGATTGTTACCGCTCGGCAATCCAAACAGCAAGGGAGACGATGACGATATATATCACATATTATCGTTCATTGAGTTTCTTTATTTCTCCCCCCTCGGCCCCACAATAAAATTAAAAATATTAAACTTTTAATTTTGTTTATTTATTTATTTGTTTCTAGAAGTTATCTTAAAAATCTTGCTAGAGTACCAAATGTAATAAGACCAACCTGTTAATTATATATTATTTCATATTTTGTTTTTCCTTTCTTGTGCATATATTAAACATTTTTAATCTTATTACTGGTTTTCTTAAATCTTTGTTGATTTATACAGGGTGATCATAAAGTCCATATGCAGTTTTATACTTCAATAATTAAAGATGTACAAATGATAAAACTATATATTAAACAATATATGAAAATCTAACTTTTAAACTTTTTTATTTAATGATTTTATTAATATAGAACTGATTTATTTTATTTACAAATCCTATTAGTAACTCTCAAATAAAGACAGTTAAAGAGAAAATAAACTGTATTCTCTAGCTAGTAGAATTTCAGTCAATAACATCTGGTAGAAGAAAGCATGCTATTCATTTTGATAAACATGAAATTATTGTACATAATTCACAAGCCAAAGTATGCAGTTTACTTTTTCTTTAAGGTTACCATTTTCTGTAACCATTTGAAGTCATTGATGAGATCTGTAAATAAAATAAAATTAATTCTGCATTGATAAAATTATTATGTAAAATACTAAATAGCTAGGCTCTCAAATGTTATTTACTTATTAGTTTTAACATCTGTACATTGTTTTTAAAGTATAAAACTGCAGAACCACTCTACTATATAATCCACAATATTATAATGTTTTCTTTATTTTATTTCTAATAATAAAGATACAGTAATTTTAAAAAGATATATACAGTGAAACCTTGCTTAACGAGCATAATTCGTTCCAGAAACTTACTTGTAATGCAAAACACTCTTTAAAAGCAACAGTTTTCCCATCTAAATTAATATAAAATACGATAATGCATTCCATGCCAAAAAAAATACTCAAATATTTTATATATAACATTTATTCAAAGAAAATTATACAATATACATTGTTAAGGAGCATGAATCATCTTCATCTTTTCTTGTAGTGTGGAATGAACCAACCTGGAATGTGAATTCGATTTGCAGAAAAAAAAAATCACAGCTAATATGTCTGATAAACATGCCAAATGATATGCCAAATTCTTCGGCTATGTAAAGATTATAATTAAATAATATAAATTAATTAATTTGACTAAAATTAGGCAGTTATGCTGCCATCTCAAATTAAATTTAATAATTATAAATAATTAATTTGGCATATTCTTTAGCATGTTTATTACATAACAGGTGATTGTTGTTAGTGTTTATATGTAATATGTGTGAACACAAGTTTGGAAAAATGTTTGATCACAAGCAACACTAAGATGCTAGTGGAATGAGTGCTAAACACAGAATGTACACAATCCAGGACTTCCCCTCTTCTTGTCACTTGTTATGCAAAATGTCATTCATTAAGCGAGTCATTTTTTTATAATTTGTTTTTCTTGTTATGCGAAATATTCAAGGTGCTCGTTAAGTGAGGTTCCACTGTAATTGTAATAATAGCAAAACTAATAGATAAGACTTTATTTAATTAATTGTAAAATTTGTTGCATAATATAAATAACTTACTACATCATTATCATGCTTTAAAATATTTAAATTAAATTCATCTTTCTTCCAATTAATTTAACTTTAAAGCAGATTATATCTATCATTATTTTTCATATTCAAAGATAAAATTTTCTTTATAATGAAAATATCTATGAATGCTATGTGGACCAGAATCAGAAAATTTTTGTGGGTAGTGGATATTCCCACTATCCATGACATTCTAGATCTGTCCTGATATTTTGGGTCCTATCTCTCACCATTTGCTCATCTCCATTATGGATCTGGTCCCTGATAGACATGGAGAAAAAGTATCTCATAGTGCCTATAGCACAAAAAAAAGTTAAAAACTAAAAAATAATTATAATTAAAGAAATTACTACATGTAATACATATTTCTTTCCTTTTATAATATGCTTATATTTTGTATTTTATTTTCATTTTACTTCTTTGGTTCAGTATCTTTGGTTTATTGAAAATTCTTTTACTATCATCAGTAATTTTAAAAATAAACAAATATATAAATATTATATTTAAAGAAATTACTACATGTAATACATATTTCTTTCCTTTTATAATATGCTTATATTTTGTATTTTATTTTCATTTTACTTCTTTGGTTCAGTATCTTTGGTTTATTGAAAATTCTTTTACTATCATCAGTAATTTTAAAAATAAACAAATATATAAATATTATATTTAAAGCAAACATATATAATTTTAAACATGACTTATTTAAGTATATAAATTTCTTTAAATGTTTAAATTTAAAAGAATGAAAGTTTACCTGTTGTAACCATGAAATCAGTTGACACGTTCCCCACTTATCTGGCTTTGGTAAATTAATATCTTTTAAATGAAGAATAAGTTTTTCACTTTCTTTAGGACGAAGAGTGCGACCAGAATGAGAATTAACAATTAAACATAATGGTAATATTTTTTGTAAAAGGTGATATGGGGTAGTTTGAGCTGTACAGTGAACTGTTGCTATCTGTACAGAATGAAGCTGTTGAAAACAATGTTGAAGAATCATGCTATTAGAAATATAAAAATTTTAGTTGTTACAAGTTGCTAGATGTAAAATATTATATAATAATTTTAATTGATAAAATGTATATTAAAATTATGATATTTTATTTGCAGAATAATGTCATAAAGGTAATAATTAATTAAAAATTTACATACAATTTATCACAAACTAAATAATTAAATATATACAAAGTACTACAGACATAAAAGCAACAAAAGCTTTTAGCAGTTTAGGGATGCTTTAGAGAGCTTTTAGAAAAACAGAGAAATGAAAACAAAAGACACTTGAAATCTCTTCCAAACACATGTACAGTATATATAAACTATTCAAAATTTAAAATATCAATAGCCTACTTATTCTAGTCTTTAATTACATTTTTCTATATAAAAAAATATTTGTTGACTTTATTGTTGACTTTTTGTTTTTCGAAATTGTTCTTTTAGAATGCAATTATACTAGGGATTCAAAATGTCCTTATAAACTAAAAACATATTAAAAACAAATGATAATATTTTTTATTTTTGTTTTTTAAATAAAAAATATTAGTCATTAGGTGTTTTTAGTTTACCAAGGACATTTTGAATCCTTAGTATAATTATTACTTACATTATTAACAATTTTTCATGTTTTATCAAAATATATTAGGTTGTTCGGAAAGTAAGTTTGTTTTTTTTACCACTAGACGGATTAGTCATATTATTCCCACCATTTTCATTCTAAACCATATTATCTATACAGTAATACCTCGACTTACACTACCCTGACTTACGCGATTTTCAAATCTCACCGATTCGTCTTTTGTTTGAGCACCACACAATTCTTGATTACTCACTTCCCCCCACACTATTGTTCAGCTTACATGTTCGAGTGTGTCACGTGGAATCAACACATAGCTACAATTTATTTTGTGTTATTTATTTCTGTGTTTGTTATATCTACGGAGACTTGAGAGACTCTGTGTGGTGATTTCTTGTAACCCTGAACGAATCAAAAGATGAGATAAGATTAACCAGAACATTTATTAGCTTACATACATCCGACTTAGATTTTACACAAATTGCAAAATCATACCCTGACTTACACGAATGTGACTTATGCGGTTATTGCTCGGTCCCACCTATCGCGTAAGTTCGGGGTATTACTGTATATATTTTGACAGCTAGCATTTTAAAATATTTTGACAGCTAGCATTGTAAAACATTTTGTTTGATTTTGTGCAATTGTTTATTTTTTGTGTTTACATCAAACATGGAAGATTAAAAGCAGCATTTTTGGCATATTTTACTTTTTTATTACCAAAAAACCAAAATGCTGTTCAAGCAAGGAAAAAATTGTGGTACATGTGTGGAGATGATGTATTGACAGAACGTCAGTGCGAAAACTGGTTTACAAAATTTCGTTCTGGAAATTTCAATATTGAAGATGCACCACGTTCTGGATGGCCAGTTGAAGCCAATGAAAACAAAATAAAGGTACTGATTGAAGCAAACTGCCGAATAACAACATGTGAAATCACTAAGAGATTAAATTTGTCAAATTGAACTGTTTATGATTACTTCAAACAAATTGGTTTCGTTTCAAAGCTTGATATATGGGTTCCACATGTTCTTAAAGAGAGATGATTTCTTTAGTGGAATTTTAAGGTAATTTTTTTTTTGGAGCTTTTACCAGATTTTAATTGGTTTAACAATTGATTTGAAAGTGTACTGCCATCGAGTAAACAAATTGAGTAATATCATCAAACAGAAAAGGCAGCCAGAATTGATCAACAAAACAGGTGCAGTGTTTTACTACGATAATGTCAAATTTCACACAAGTTTGGTAACTGGTCAGAAACTGTTATAACATAGATGGGACGTGCTATCACACCAACCATATTCGCCAGATCGAGCACACTCAGATTATTACTTGTTCTGGTCTATACAAATTTTTTTTAACTGTAAGACATTTACTTGAAATGACAATGTCAAAAATCACGTGGATCAGTTTTTTTGTAAGCAATGATAAAAACTTTTATGAATGTGAAATCATGCTACTACCAGAAACGATGACAACAGGTATTTGACCAAAATGGTTGATAAATAATTCAATAAAATATTTATTTATTATAAAAATATTGTGTTTTTTTTCACGGAAATAAACAACTTACTTTCCAAACAACCCAATAAAAGAATACATCTTTTCACTGAAAAATTTTTTCTTACTCATCAGCAAACTTCAGAGGAAATTTTTAATTCATGTAATAAAAGAAACAATCCGGATATAAAAGTTTTATTGCTTTAATAGTTATTCAAAATAAACATAGCATTTATAGAATAATTATACATAAAGATGAAGAAAGATAATTATACATAAAGTTATAAAATTGTAATAAAATTGAAAAGAAATAATAAAAATATTAATATATAAATATATTATTTTAAAGAAATAATAAAGTTTGTGTTAACAGTAAAAATTTCATGGTGATGGGAGTAATTTCTCCCTAGACCTAATCTTAATGGATGCAATATATGGCAATATCAAAATAAATTATTTGACGAATTTTGTTGAAAAATGGATTATTTTGTAAAAGAAATGTTCATTTGCAAGTACAGTACAAAAATACCAAATAAACAAGATACTATTGTCTTCAATGTTACTTTTTTCAAATAATATCTTTAAATTATAAATTTCTTCTTAACACATTTTCTGCCAAATATAGGGAAAAAAGAAGACTAATTTGAGCAAAAGTCCTTATACTAAACTAAAAGTCCTTATAATAAACTAAATGCATCTTATACAGTCTACCCCCTATAACACTGTTGATTTTTCCATTTTATATGAATTCCATGTTGTACAAGTCACTTAGATTTTACAAATACATGTGCCAGGCTATGAACGGCTCATATATTTCTAAAATCTAAGTGACTCGTACAACATGGAATTCATATAAAATGGAAAAATCAACAGTGTTATAGGGGGTCAACTGTACATGTAATATGATAGGTAAATTTTATTTCTCTCTATAAAATTAAGAAGTGCATGATGCTGTTAAGCATATTAATCAGCAAAAAAGTTTTTTTTATAAATTATAATTAAAAATGTTTTATAATAGTTGGAAACATAATTTAATAATTGTATATATTAATATATTTTTAATTCTTTATGTATTATGTATCTTTTTTCCCATTCTTTAATGCAATTAATAATATAAATTAGATAAATTTATCTATATAATTATTATATTCTATTAAACTTACATATTTTTGATAGATGCAAAATATTTATCAAAAGATATTAATTTTCTTTATGTGCTTTAAATGTTACACACTAAGTCTTTCCAAACTTACTGCAAAATATATTACAAACTGAACATTTTGATTTCATCTTTTGTTTTATATAAATTTTGATTATATTTCATAAAAAAAATCATATTTATTTTCAACAACTTAGTTTTCTATCAAAATCATTATTTTATTTTATATGAAATATTAATACAGCTATATCATGCTATATGAATGTAATACATTCTTTAAATGATTTGAATATTGAGCACTAATTTAATTAGCACAACTTTAAAATTTTTCACAAATGTGCTTTGAAGAAACTCATAATACTGGGTAAATTCAATTCAGACATAACAGCTATAAAGGAGTTTGGATACCAGTACATAGCTGTAATTATTATATTTTGATAAGTATTTTTTAAAATTATTACCTTTTGCCACTTCCTTCTGGCCCTATTAACAAAACAGATTGAAATATTTTAGGCTGCAACCATGGCAATATTATTCCTGCTATCTGTTGGACATCAGTTGTAACAATAACTGGAGGATTGCCATTACAAAACTTTTCAATTGTTATATCATTATTCAACTGTAAAAAATTTAAAATTATGTAGATAAAATATTTATTCCATATATGATTTTTCCTTACATAGTTTTGATAGCTTTAATAACTATAAAAAAACAAAATAAATTCTTAAATTAAACCATAAATATTAAAATTGACTTAAACAGTGTAAACTTTTGAGGCACCTTACACAAAATTAAATTTACAGGGGGGGTGCAAGAGTAGGTATGTAGTTGTTATTATGAAAAAAACATACAGGGAGATAATAGAAAAATCATTTATTTTTATGTACAAATTAAATCACAAATAAGGAATACAAACTAATAAAAGATAATAATAATGAACACCAAACATTTGTATTTCCCAGATTCTCAACTGTATACCTACTTTTGCACCCCCCCGTACTGTAAAGGTTATTATTATTTAGAGCTTTGGTCAAGATACTGAAGAAAGTTAAAAGTCAGAAAGAGATTTTTAAATTTTATAATGTTTGACTAAATTATTAACATGTGAGGTCTCAGATGAGGTCCGAAAATGCGTAAATTGCGGAATTCTTATGTTTAAATTATAACAATAAATTATATACAGTAGAGTGTCGATTATCCGAATCAATTGGGGACTGGGGTTGTTCGAAAATCAATATTTCGGATAACCGATTATGTACAAAAAAATATATTAACCTATCCCATGTTGAAATTTTTCTCCGTTGCGTGTTGCTTCGTGTTGAATTTTTGTCGATGTTAAGCCTAACGAAGACTATTGTATCAAACAAATAAATATAATGAAAAATATAAAAACAATAAAAAATTATACTTCAGAAGTTAATTTAGTATCAAAAACGTAACATATTTGAGTAGCCCAAGACATAGCCAAAGATTGCAGCACTACAGCACTGGCAAAAATTTAAATTTGCCGACTGGAATTCTTTCAGATAATTGACATTTCGGATAATTGACTTTCGGATAATCGACACTCTACTGTATATATATACTCGTATATGAGAGAGAGAGAGAATAACCCTTGATCCAAACAACGCGGCACAAAATATAAACGATGAGTCCTGGGACAACTTCAACATGTGTTAAACGACTGTTGATGTCAAACCGAAAGGTAGAACTCTGACACAGGTGCTCATAAACAGGTAGAACTCTGACTCAAACACTCATAAATAGTCAATTTAGGAAAACAATTTTGAAAAAGGGGAAAGATTTAATGGATAGAAAAACATTGCATATGATAGTTAAAGTTCCAAGATGACAAAAATCATAAATAACAGGCTAAATTATGAGTGCGAGTCTTGTGGTTTTATCAACAATCTCCGAGCATAGTTGACAAAAAAACATCGAATAGACTCTTCAAATCAGACCTTTCCATGACCTGAGTTGGTCTTGGTTTTTGCCTGGAAACAAAGAAGAGACCAATCATGAAACGAGGAATGGGACAAAAGGCCAATTGGAAATATGAATAGTGGGAAAAAATCTATACAAAATCATAAATTCAAGGTTGAAGGACAGTCTTCCTCTGGATCAAGCAAAGTCGTGCTCTATATTGTGTTGTGTCACCACTGACAACTTCCAATATATGATGGACGAATGTTTGCAGAGATGCTGTGGTATCCAATGACACCAATCTCATCTTGTCCACCTTGGGGCTACAACCAAAGTCAAAGTTCTCGCCAAAGGGCTATAGACAATTGGAACTGTCACTTATTGATGTAAGCATAAATGTTACCAAATAAATGGCTTTTTCCTTTGTAAGACACTTGTCATCATTTGCCTCCTTTGCCACAGCCCACATGCAAACTTCCCTTAGGTTCATCCTGATGCGAGATTAATTGATCCTCCTTGGTAAACTCCTTGGTAAAAGTTGGCAACCTTGCAAACACTTGAAATTGTTACAAATAAATAATATTCCTATTATTAAAATGATTTATCTTGGCAGATACATAATCATAATAGAATATTTATGTTAAAAGTACTAATGCATACTTAAATATTTAGCTATATATTTTAATTTTTTCAAATTCATCATCATTTCAAATATTGAATTTCATATTATATCAAGATTTTTTATAAGGTAAGTGATAGTTATAAATTTCTGATTTATGAAGTTCTTTATTTTTGAAGTGCTTTTAAAATTTTTTTACATTAATTCACATTAATTCTTTTATAAGAATTTAATGAAAATACAGAACTCAAAAGCTTTTCATAATTAAAAGTCCACCTTAATATTTATATCTGTAGAGAATTTTAAATATATAATATTATAAATCATATACAGTAGACTCCCCTATAACACGGTTTCATATAATGCGGATTTGTATATTGAGGCGAAACAATTGCGACCATATTCGTATAAAGACACTAAAAGAGACTCGTAAAATGCAGTAAAACATCATCGCCAACTCATGTTGCGACAGGATTGGTCGAATCTGGACCAATAGTGGACGAACAGCCGAACTACTTACACGCTACGGAGAGTTTAGGCGGGTAAGTTGAATTTACTATCGTCTGTACAGTATATAAATTAGGTACAGTAAGTCTAATACAGTACTGTAATTTTATACATTTCTTGTGAAAAAAACATTTCTTATTCAATGGCCATAAAAATTATTTCTAATAATGATGTCTCCAAAGTTCAATAAATTTTTTTCAGAAAAATAATTTATCAGAAAACGTACCCACCATTTGGTGTGCTGCTCCACGACGAAAACAAGCTTAAGTAATGGTGTCGTCGAACGGTGCACACTCGGTAAGTAATCCTACAATTTTTTGTTTATAGCATAGTTTATACGGATTATTCCCAAAAAATTATACATGTTTTGAAAATGTTGAGTCGAATTAGTCTAGAATTGATTAATTTTATGGAAGAAAACCTTTCAAACAGCTGTAGTCTGCAACTGCTCACGTGCCAGGCTGTGATTGGCTCATGTATTTAAGGATTCCTACAATACGAAATTCTTATAAAGTGGAAAGTATCTACCGCGTTATAGGGGGTCGACTATAATACAGTTTTCAAAACATAATCAATTACACTTTTTTTTTCATTTAAAATTCTTTGTAACTCCAAAGAGAGAGTTTTAGCTAATTTTGATAAAACAATTATTTGAAGTGATTGTTTAATTCGTGCCTAATATTAAGAGTTATTAAGAAATTTCATCAATTATTTTACATATCTTTTATTCTAAAATTTGTACTCTTCTATATTTTCTGATTTGATTTTGGCAAACCTTACTTAACATGAAATTAGTTATGATGTTCAAAATTGATTAGAAATACTCATATAATATACAGGATGATCATAATTAAATTATCTCTAATCCAGTGTTTTTCAACCTGTGGGTTGCGACCCCCAGGGGGGTCTCAAAGCCTTACACGGGGGGTCGCAGGTATAAGAAAAAGACAAGTGTTTGTAGGTCCTACACTTCAATAAAAAAATACAATTTCAGTGAGAAGACTGTGCCTGTTTATTTTACAGTACAATTGGTTTTATGATCGATATTTAGGTCTTAACAGAAAGAAAATTAAATATGCAGTTTTTAAAATCACTGATATAGTTTTAATATGGATCTGCGGATCACCAGAATTTTTTAACTTGTAAAGGGGTCGAGGATTCAAGAAGGTTGAAAAACACTGCTCTAATCAAACATATCTGGAGAGATATCTATGGGGTGTAATTACACCAAACTTGGTAATAATATTAGCCATAATATGCAGAAGCAATCCTCATTAAAAAATTGGTTCCAAAACTTATCATCAGAGGTGAATATAGCATTGTCCAACACTGTTTCCTGCATATTATCCCTGTGATTTCTGGTTTGTGAGTACATCTCAAAAATGTTGTGTATCAGGATATGATTCCTAATTTGACTATATTAAAAAACAGAATATAACTGCATGTGACTAACACTATAAATGTGTTGCATTTTGCAATTGAACACACTGTTCACCATTTGTAAGATTTAAAAGACCACAATGGAGGCCACATGGAAGAATTTCTGTTGCACTGCTAATGCTACTACTATATCATAGGCTGTCTGAAATTTAATGTAATGTTCATGTAATAAAAAATGCTTTTCCTATGCTCAATCTTTTTAAATTCATTTTCTCAAGATCAAAAACTTAAGCTAACATGCATAAATGCCTCTTTACATGTACCAACCTAAACAGCAATCTTCTTTAAAGCACCACACATTCATCTCACACCAGTGGTGTAGCGTAGTGGGGGCGGCCCGCCCTGGGTGGCACTTTTTAGGGGGCGGAAAAATTTCACAATAAATAATAATAATATCTTGTAAAAATTTGAACCATTCTAATCTATATTTGTGTCGCGCTTATGATAGTGCTATTGTCCGGACAGTCTGGGAATCGGCTCACCGTCCGGTGAGCTAGTAATTTCATCCACGCAACTTGTTGACCTTTTATCTTTTTTTTTTCTTTTGCTTGTATGATTCATTCTCATTCATATACAGCACCACTGTCCAATAGAGCTATTTTAAACAGATCGCTGCACTAGCACGGAATTTTTCATTGCTTGTTCTGTGACAAAACTGAATTTTAGTCTTCTAAATTGAAATACAGTGGTACCTCAGGATACGAAATTAATTCGTTCTGAAACTGAGATCGTATCATGAAAATGTCGTAAGGTGAATCATTTTCCCCCCATACGATTACATGTAAAACCAAATAATTTGTTCCAACACCAAAACACACTCAAATTAAAGCTAAGTAGTACATTGAAAAAAAAAAAGTATAGTAAGAAAAACACTGAAAAATGCGTTTTGTAGTTCTAAATATTTAAATAACCATAATAGAATAATAATTGATAAAAAAAATGTAGTTTTATTTGCACTTTACCTTTGAGGATAGACGACGGTGAAGGTGTAAACTGGTGGCAGAAGATAGGGAGAAGGGAAATGATACTAAAAACTTAACTTACATAACATAATGTAACAATAACTTAAAAATAACTTATAAAACAACACTAATTTTTTTATCTTTTTTTTTTCTTTTTTAATTTTTATTCACTGCTTTTTGCTTTCCTTCCTTCACTTCCACCAGCACTTTCACTGGATAGAGGTTGCTTGGTAAAATATCTATCCAAAGAGGTTTGGCTTTGCCTACTTTTTAAAATGTTTCTAAAATGACTTAGGCAAATGTCATTACTCTGAGCAGCAATACAGCCAGTGTGAATCTTTTCGAGGTGTTTCTTTTCAATAAAATCAGTCACTTTCTGATAATACCTCAAGATTTCCTTTATCGAGCGAGATCCTTCCACGACGAAGCAAACATGCAGACTGAGACCAATGAACAGAAGTAAATAAAAAATGGCACTGCGAACTAATGTAAGTCGTATGGTAAGTTTTTGTTCATATCGTGGAGCAAAAATATGTTCAAATTTCATGTTGTATCCTGAAAATTTCATATGCTGGGGCGTTTGTATCCTGAGGTACCACTGTACCTATATAAGGGGGAGCAAAATTTTCCTTCGCCCCGGGTGGCTGACACCCACACTACGCCACTGTCTCACACTGACCCCTGCTGGTGTGTTTTGATACCATTTTTTTCCATGATGATTGCTTCCACATGTCCTGGATAACAGTACAATAAGACTCCGCTTTATGTGGGGGATGCATTCCTAGATGACAAAGCGCTAAGCGAAACAACATTAAACAAGCTCATTTTAACATAAAGTAAATAGGGAAAAAGGAACACGCAACAAAATTATAGTAAAATCTGTTTATTTTTGAAGTTATTTTTATATTAATTTGCATAATAATATATGTTAAATAACACATAAACATATGCATAGAGAAATCTAAAGTTCATTTTTTGTGATGAAGGTCCTGGCTTTTCTGAAATTCTTGTTTTTTGCGATAAAGATGTGTAGTTTCATTTGTTGCTTTTTTTTCTTTCCTTAAGCAAATGTCGGTAGCAAGTGATCGCATCCAAAATGCCTCGTTTTGCTTTTGTACTCCTTTCAAAATCTGGATCATTCGCTACAGTTTGATCAATAATTTTGGTTATCATTATCAAATTTTTACTAAGGAAGTCTGTAGAGAAATTTTTTGGATTCTTCATTTTCAGAATCACTATTTTCCAGTTCCACATGAATTCCATGTTCTGTCAGTTCTTGAAGGTCATCGTTCGTAAGGCTCTCAACAGAAACCTGCAGTAACTCCTCAATATCCTGTTCATCTATATCTCCTAGTCCTGTTATATCGATTAGATTGAGTTTGGTCAACCTAATGATACAGTGATAGGCTCTTCTCGTAGAGAATTCTTGGATACCTTCAGCCATAACTTCTTCCACACTTTGTTCGTGCATTTAACAGTTAATTCTTGCTAAGGAAAGTCGATATTTCCTATGGCATCCGTAATGTTATATTTTTTCCAAAATTGCACCAAACCAGTGGCGTACCGTGGGTGTCAGCCGCCCGGGGCAGATGAAAATTTTGCCCCCTTATTTAGGTATTTCAATTTAAAAGACCAAAATCCAGTTTTGTCACAGAACAAGCAATGAAAAATTCGGTGGTAGTGCAGCGATCTGTCTAAAATAGTTCTATTGGATATTAGTGGTGTATATGAACGCAAATGAATCGTACAGGCAAAAAAAAAAAGATCAACAGGTTTCGCAGGAATTCCTCGGATGAAAAAGCTACTAGGTCACCCAGCGAACCGATTCCCGGACTGTCCAGACGATAGCACTATCGTAGGCGCAATGCAAGTATAGATTAGGATGTTTCAAATTTTTACAAGATATTATTATTATTTATTGTGAAATTTTGCTGCCCCCTAAAAGGTTATTTTGCCACCCCCTAAAACGTGCCGCCTGGGGCGGACCTCCCCTGCCGCCCCCACTACGGTACGCCACTGCACAAAACATAGATTTAAGGAAAGTACAGTGCTATGACGAATTGCCATCTTTTGCCAATTGGTATATAATACAATCATTTACAAAATGATTGTATTATCATTTTATCAATCATTTACAAAATGATTGTATTATATATGAATCAATGAAATGCCATGATAATTTGAATCGGCGTAAATTTTGAGTGTTTTTTTAGGCTTCAAGCAGACTGCGTTATATAAAATCAGCGTTAATTGAGGCAGCATTAAGTGGGGTCTTACTATATTACCAAGTTTAGTACAATTATTACACCCAGTAAATATTTTGTTAGATATCTATGAATAGGGATACTTTAATTATGATCACCCATATACAATTGAACTCCATTTATATGTTTTTCAAGGAAACTGAGAAAGTGAAGTGAAAAAATAAGTCTATCAGAGTGTATGTATTCATCACAAAAGTATGGTGCGGTGCAAATTAACACTGCAAAACTGAATCTGTACATGAAATTCTAACAAAAAGACGTTTGAATTTATCATTATAATACACATTTGGACAAAATATAAAAATAAAATTAAAACAGTGTGAAATTAAATCATGTACTTTAAAAAATTGACCAATTTTGTTTGTTTCTTGTTTTTTCAATGGACTTGTCACATACTGATATGGTCTTAAGATCAGTTGTCTCCTTCCATTGAAACTCCAGTCACATGAAAGAATGAAGAATCAATGAGGTTATAACTTACATGTTAAATTTTACAAAATGAGATATATTAGGTAGTTCAGAAAGTAAGTTCGTTTTTTTACCACTAGAGGGATTAGTCGTATTTTTCCTGCCATTTTTATTCTAAACTGTATTATCATTAGGCCTATATGTTTTGACAGCTAGCATTTTAAGGTTTATTTGTGAAAAATTTTGTTTGATTTTGTGCAATTGTTTATTTTTTGTGTCCCATCAAATATGGAAGATCGAAAGCATCATTTTCAGCATATTTTGCTTTTTTATTACTTTTTTTGTATGGAGAAGATGTGTTAAGAGAAAGACAGTGTCAAAACTGGTTTACAAAATTTTGTTCTAGCAATTTCAATATTGAAGATGCACCACGTTATGGATGGCCAATTGAAGTCAATGAAAACAAAATAAAGGTACTGATTGAAGCAAACTGCCGAATAACAACATGTGAAATCACTAAGAGATTAAATTTGTCAAATTGAACTTTTTACGATTACTTCAAACAAATTGGATTCGTTTCAAAGCTTGATATATGGATTCCACATGTTCTTAAAGAAAGATTCATGCTCTCTTTGGTGGGATTTTAAGGTAATTTTTTTTTTTTTGGAGCTTTTACCAGACAATTTAACAATTGATTCGAAATTGTACTGCCATCAAGTAAACAAATTGAGTAATATCATCAAACAGAAAAGGCAACCAGAATTGATCAACAAAACAGGTGCAGTGTTTTACTACGATAATGTCAAATTTCACACAAGTTTGGTAACTGGTCAGAAACTGTTATAACATAGATGGGACGTGCTATCACACCAACCATATTCGCCAGATCGAGCACACTCAGATTATTACTTGTTCTGGTCTATACAAATTTTTTTTAACTGTAAGACATTTACTTGAAATGACAATGTCAAAAATCACGTGGATCAGTTTTTTTGTAAGCAATGATAAAAACTTTTATAAATGTGAAATCATGCTACTACCAGAAACGATGACAACAGGTATTTGACCAAAATGGTTGATAAATAATTCAATAAAATATTTATTTATTATAAAAATATTGTGTTTTTTCCATGGGAAAAAACGAACTTACTTTCCGAACAACCCAATATTTGAATAAAAATTTAATTTATTTTGTTAAATTTACAAGAAAAGTCTTGATAGACATTTGATTTCTACCCCTACAAACACATATATCATAAAAACAAAGAACCCCTAAAAGCAAAAAGAAACAAAATAAAAATAAATAAGTAAATAAATAAGAACACATAAAAAAATCTTAAAAGATATACAGTGCTTTTTTGCATTTCAATTTAAAATCAGGGAGATCAAGATGTAAAAATTCATCAAAATTATTAAAATTTTGCAATATATGGTAGAAAGAAGATCATTGGAATAGATTTATATGATAAAAAGGATTAAAAACAAATAAATGAGCAGAGTTTTCTCAATGGAATTTGAAGTGAAAGTCAATCTTGATAAATAAGACCATTAAAATATTTGTAATATATTAACCAATCAAAATATTTAATTCTCTCTCGAAGAAAGATGGGAAGCCCAAACAAATTTCTAGCAATATTACAGTAAACAGTGAACTTTCTGAAGTCAGAGTTTGTTATGCACTAGCTCTGACACCAGCCAAAAGACTTCTATTCTGCAGGCATAGCATTGTTGCCAAAATGATGAGAGAGAAGTGTCAGCAAGTGGAAGGGAAGTACCTAGAGAAATAATTGAGACACTATGTAATATATATAATTCCATCACCATTATTGATATTTCTGAGAGAACGTGAACTGCCTTAATATATACTGTACATTGGTTATTTTGTGTATGCAAATGTTTATGACAAAAATGAGAACAATTGAAAGATCTTTGTCTCTTCTTTCTTATTTTTTTCTGAAGAGTAAAAATTTTAAATTTGTCTTATCTTTTTATTAGTAATAATGGAAAAAAGAAAGAAGCAAAAATAGATAAACTCTTTATCTAACTAAATAAAATTAGTGGTGTTTATAAAATTTTTCAATCTTATTTTACATTAATTGAAAGACAAATTAATCTTATATACAGCAGCAAACATGCTTATAAAATTTTATAGTTTGGTTTAGTCTATATTTTCATATTGCTTCTCAATTTGCTAAGCTTCAGTTTCTATTTTGAATAACAGCTGAAAACTAATTAAATATCTCAAAATTTAATACTATATAAATTTTTTCATTCAAATTAATATAAGAACAAATTTATTAATCAAATTTTAATACCTCTGAAATATAATAATCCAAATGATCATCTCTTTCATTATAATATGTATTCAAAACTTTATTAGGATTAGGTATTGAAATTTCCATCCATGAAAATATCTATAAAATTTATTTACATAAATAAATATTTAGCAATTTAATTACAGTATATATAATTTATGTTTAAAATATAAATATATTTTATAATTTTAATTTTATAATGATTACTATTTTACAAAACATTTATGATAAAATTAAAAGATTTAAGTCAATAAAAATATGAAATATAAATTATATATAAAATCAATTAGGTATATTATTATTTAAAATTCTAAATCCTAAAGCATATGATAAATATTAAAAATAGACAAAACAAATGATTATTCAATACCCAATAGTAAGAAATAAGCCTAAAAATAAAACTTCTAATAAAATGTTTATTAAATAATGAATATCTTAGATATGAAACTCAATATTCATTAGTATAATTAATGCTTTTTTAACTACAGATAACACTCAATTAATGATTATGATATGTAGTTTAAAAACAATTGTAGTTAGAGAATTAAATGTTTATCATATTAAAATTTTGAGTGCAAGTCTTTATTTTTCATTTTGAGAAAGAATGAATTACATTTAATAATTGAAATAATAAATTTTGCAGTTAATGATAATAGCATTAAATATAAAAATTAGTAATAAAAATAAAAAAATTTAAAACAAAAGTTTATATCAAAATAATAGAAGTATAGTTTAACAGTTTGGAAGATAATTATAAATATTTAAGTATAATGCAATTTTTGAGCCTTTAAATAATTTTTTCAAATTACTTAAAGGCTCAAAAATTGCATTCAAAATTTTGAAATATGCAAATGAAATTAAATAAATTTTTATAAAAATACAAAATCTTACAAACAAATTTCTTTGCAGTATTGACTTGTATACAAGACTTAAACATTACAAGTAAGGTGCCTTAATTTTCATTAGGCAGTCAAACTTCTGAACAATGGCTCTACTATGGAAATATAACAAATGTCATTGGAAGATAAGCTGCTCTTTTTACCTTAGTGCTTCATTATTACCTTGTTTGTTGACAAGAACATAGTGGGGACAAATAATTCCCAGAAAATATTGTGCATCATTAAAAGATGATCTCCAACAAAGGGAGAGTCCCCAATCCATTTGCTTTCTGAATTAGCTCTATTGATCCTAAGAAATTTTGCCACTAGAGTTGTTGAGTTTGTTTCATTTGTTTTTATTATGAGGCTACCAATATGGGGATTATTCAAAATCAAGATGAAAAAGGGATGAAGTGAGATATGTGAGTGTGGGAGACACTGAGGCAAGTCATCTTTTTATAGTTTTACAATTGAACCTGTTTGATTGGATAAAAACTATAGTCACACTAGTTCAAAGCCAAAGTAACATGATAGTTTGTGGTTCCTTGTGGTTATTCCTTGACTGTCCATTGGTTCTGAGGCAATGGACTGTCAAGGAAAATTTTGATTGTCAATAATTTGATTGGTTCTGACTCTTTCTCACCATCTCTTGATTGGCTCTTTCTTTGACTCCAAGTGAAATTGAACCAAATTGAGTTGCAAAAATGGCCAATCTTGTATGTTCAATTTGACAATGCATCTCAGCTCTCAGCTCTGACTACACAATGTTGGCAAACTTTGAAACATTTGTATCTTAGACTATGATGAATTTTCTCCTGATACTCAAGAAATTTAACTATTGCAGTATCACCTTTTTTCAATAAAAAAGTCATATTGCATTTGATCTTAATATTGTCATTTTTATGAACCAAAGTTTGGAGTCAAAGTTTGATCTCCCTGATCTAGCATTTATTAAAATTCTGACACATGAGTTTGCATCTTACTGCCAACCTTACATTACATTATCATGCCACTCAGGTATGTGGAAAGACAGTATAACTTCTGGACCCCTTAACCACATTTATCCATCTGCTCTATCCTAATGACCCAACTGCATCTGACTTGCCAATTTATTTCAGGAGTAGGGAATATTCAATATTCCCTCCTACAAACACCATAGTGATATGTCCTTGAAAAGAAACAAAGAAATTTACTTTAAAAAAATTAAATTTCAGGCCCTCTATAAGAGTTCAGACTCCATTGCTATAGCAACATCTTCCCTTCTTGTCAGAAATACTGCCAGTTACCAGAGTTACCACTTAAACTTTTCTTACTGGGCAACTGCCAGTACTATATACCAACTATATATACTTTTTATAATTTCTTCCAATGCAGCATACCAGTGCATTCCAGTTAAAAACAGTCTTGCTTTTAACATTGTAGAAAATCACAAAAAATTCTGTACAAAAGTCTTTCTCATACAGAAACTCCTAAAATGTAAATCAATCTTTTAATGTATTACTAAATTTTAATAACAGAGGACACTGTTCTTAACAATAAAAATTTTTAAAAATTTTTCTTTAAAAACACTTGAATTATAACTATCGCCACTTCCTCAGCGGTTTACAACTAAAATTAAACACCATAACACTTACTGAGCTTACTGCAATTTAATATTCAAATGCTTTCAGCCTATTCTTATAGGCCTTCCTCAGGAAACGAACATAAAGCTTTTGAATACTCGTAAAATTTAAAGTTTTTGAACATTTTAAAAAAATTATTGAAAGTTGAAAATGATTGTTATTGGTTTTATTCATGTATGGCAAAGTAATATATGAGCAATCTGCCAAGGGGAATGCCTCTTGAAAAGTCTTTTATGGGAAACTGGCCCATATTTAGTGTTATTAATGTAAAGTCTGTTGGCAAAGTGCAAACCCACAACCAACTACCAGTTTTCAGTATTCACTCAGCCACTGATTGTTGTTTACAGTTTATTTTGTATATATATTTGTTCAAAAAGAAATGCACTTAAAAAATGGCTTTCATTTTGGAAAGTGGCCATTATTGGAGGTTTGGCTGTATTTCATTACATTAATATAATGTTTATTTAAAATGAGAATTAATAATAAATAACAAAAAGATTAAATTTTAATATGTAATATCCATTTTAAAACTCAAAAGTGAAATTAAGTTTACAACACTTTTATTTATTACAATTATTAATTTAAAATAAAATATTTAAATTTTTAATGCATTAAATTTATAACAACACAAAAATTATAATTAAATACTAACTTGTTTTGCAAAAATTTCATGATTTTCTTTGCTTAAATTACTTCCCAAACCTCTTATAAGAGAGAGAGCAAATTTAGGTTTTGACAAAATATTTGCAAGATGTGACAAGCCATTCATTGCAAGTCCAATAACAGAAGTTTCTATGATGAAATCATTCTGTAAATAAATTTTTTTAATTAAAATTATAATATTATTTTCTCTAATTATTTTAAGAAAATTTTATTTATTTGATAATTTGCTAGAATTTTAACATATAAATCAATTTTAAAATAATATACAACTAAATATTTTCATATATAATTGCACTTATAAACTGTACTAAAATAATATGGTTTTTGTCTATAAAAATTTTATTTCATTTATTTCATTACATTTAGAGGAAAAGTCTTGATATACATTTGATTTCTGTATCCCTAAAATAATATATCATAAAAACAAATAGCACCCCTTAAAACAAAAACAAACAAAATAAAAAAATTAAATAAATAAATAAAAACAGGTAATAAACCTTAAAAGATATACAGTGCATTTTACATTTCAATTTAAAATCAGGAAGATCAAGATGTAAAAATTCATCAAAATTATTTAGATTTTGCAATACAGTAGAGTGTCGATTATCTGAAAGAATTCCAGTCGGCAAATTAAAATTTTTTCCAGTGCTGTGGCGCTGCAATCTTTGGCTACTCAAATATTTTACATTTTTGATACTAAATTAACTTCTGAAGTATAATTTTTTATTGTTTTTATATTTTTCAATATATTTATTTTGTTTACAAAATGAAGAAATAATTTTTAACGATGCAAGAGTCACGATTATTATTTTAAAAAGTTTACGTTAGGCTTAACATTGATGAAAATTCAACGCAAAGCGACAAGCAACGGAGAGAAATTTCAACATGGGATAGGTTAATATATTTTTTCGTACATAATCGGTTATCCGAAATATTGATTTTCTGAACAACCCCAGTCCCCAATTGATTTGGATAATCGACGCTCTACTGTATATGGTAGAAGAAAGATCATTGGAATAGATTTAGATGATAAAAAAGAGTAAATGCATAAGTAAATAAGCAAAGTTTTCTCAATGGAATTTGGAATGAATTCCAATCTTGATAAATAAGACCATTAAAATATGTTTGAAATGTAATTTTGTTAGATAGTTTTCAATCTAATATATATCAAACTTTTTAAAGTAACAGAAATTAATTTTTAATAAAAACTTAATTTTGAGTTTTAAAAAGATTTTAATAAAAATTCAATAAATGATGCATTTATGATGTTATTTAATGATGTATATTAAATGATATTAAATAATAATTTATTTAAATGATGTTATTTAAAATCTTAACAGCTTTATGGTGGCTTAGGTGTAATTTTTAATAAATCATTTATTGAAAAAAGCAAAAATGTTTGAAAAATTACACCCACTTGATAACTAAAAAGCAGTCAAATCATTTCATTAATTTTTATTAGTCATTTAGATCATAAATGCAAGAACACTGAATAAATTTCCATCTTATGAAACAGCAACTGCACACTGGGTTGTATATAGCAAAATATGACCTTGAACCTTTAACTGGTGCGTACAGAGTTTAATCTTCCAAAATGAACGTTTTCTTAATTCCTTCTGGGTTCTTCTTCAGGTAAATCAGCTGGATCGATCACAGAGATGAAAAATTTGAACAAATCCGAACGCTGTTGAGTTTGAATTGTTAGGTTCGTTTGTGTATTCCGTCATGTGACAGGTTTAAAAGTGCTCAAACTTAATGACCAATGTCCAAATGTGAGAGAAAGTTATGTCAAAATACATAACATACATGAGAGTGAGATAAATAATTAATAATGATCTTCCCCCGTAATTTTTCTTTATTCTTTACCACGTAATAAATAGTATAATGCTATCACTCCTTATGCAGTAAGTTCTGACATGTCATGGAAAGGTCAATTTCATCTCTTGTATTAATGCATGAGGATATGTCATACACCTTAAAAATTCCATCTCCTCTAACCATTTCAGGTGGTCAATGTGTTGTGTGGTAACAATTAATTGCATTTTAGTGAAGTCCGCCACAATTTCGGGATCAGTGGCGTAAGTGGAGAGTGAGGTGGTGCATCTATTGCGTTGTATATCAGAGATATGCTCTTTTAACCTAACCCCAACGAACGTTTAGTCGATCCTATATATACCAAATCCCTGTTAAACCAATTATCCCTTAGCGGGACTTTATAGATGCTTGATAATCCCTCCACACTGGATTGGTCCTTTCCATTATGTAAGATGTCAAACAAAGTACTGCATCTCCTGTATGCCATGGTAACCTTTCGTTTTTTTTGCAATGGTGCTGTATAAAAGCCTCAAGAGGGGGTTGAACATAAGAGGTATCCTCACATTTTCCATTGTTGTGTTGCCACTTTGCGCAACTGTTGTAATGCTGGAAGGAGCCTGCACCTGTTTATGGCACCCCGAGATTTTCCGTATGATATTGCAGTAACCATGAGACGTGGCAATGACTTCCAAGTATTTTAACTCTTCCGCAAGCGTCTGTTGTGTAGAAGAGTGCATGTAGGCTCATTTAACCAATGCCCTGAAGGCCACCATCTTGTACTGGAAGGGATCACATGAGCTTATTGGTATGTATGTGGATACATTAGACGGTTTGCAATAAACAGATGTGCTTATGATGGAATCTTCAAATCTGATATCCAAATCGAGGAAATGGACTCTGCTGCTATTATGTTGCTCCATTTCAAGGGACAGCCCATATTGATTGTCATTCATTATGCCTAGAAAATGGGTTAGGTTGGGAGTTGTCCTCCATAAGATAATAATGTCATCGACATACCTTTTGTAAAGGATAATGTCTTGGAGGAAGTTAGGCAGTGTCCTGCTCTCCAATTGCCTAATAACCAGCTTACATAAATCCCCGGAGACCAAACTGCCCATGGGGACACCTCTGGTTTGTGAATACATCACTCCTCAGAATTGAAAAACAGAGTTCTAACAAATTAAATGGGCTAATTCTAGTGCCTGTTTTTCAATTCCGAGGAGTGATGTATTCACAAACCAGAAGTGTCCCCATGGGCAGTTTGATCTCCGGGGATTTGTGTGAACTGGTTATTAGGCAATTGGAGAGCAGGACACTGCCTAACTTCCTTCAGGACATTATCAATTGCTAGTCCTCTTCGAATTCCTCTCTATCCGATCGAACGAACGTCATCTGATTTGATCAACGAATATTGAGGTATCTATAGATTCTTGTAAACTCTCTCTCAGCGGAAGTAGCAACAGAGCTAGGTCATTAGGTCAGCATGCAAGCTGATTAGAAATTTTTGTCAATCCCCTCCAGAGGAGTGTATATGTAACTTCATTTAATCGCATCTAACTTAGGTTTAGTTTTATGTATCATAGGTTTAGTTATATAATAAATTCTTGTTGTTGTCTGTTAAAAACCTGTCTCCTGTCACTCCACAATACAGACACTTGTCGACTTTCCCAACCCCCTTGCCACTCGGAAAAAAGCCATCCCAAAGACAAAGTGGGTGAGTTTTCCCAACTCAACGATTAGAGGACTCAGTCCCCTTGCCCATATTCTCACAAATTGATTTGCAGGAGTGGGGTGAAGCCAACCTCCAGGTTTTCGACAGGTTAGTCCGTAATAGAGAGTGTCCACTGGAAACAAGTTTGTCCACTGAAGACAGGTTCCTTACAAGGAGACAAATTTAGGCAATTCTAGCACATATTAGCACAAGCATGGAAGGAGAAAACCCTATGGCTGTTTTAGGTAACATGGGAAATTTCGTTCCTTTATTGCCTGCGTTTTCTGGCAATGCAGCAGGACTTAGAGTATCAAATTTTTTGACTCATTGGGAGACATAGCAAAGCTAGCCACCTGGACTAAACCACAAATGCTAACAGTGGCCAATTGAAGCTAACTGGCATAGCACGGGAATTCGTCAGGAAAGATAGGAGAACTAAAGACATCGAAGATTTCAATGAATTTAAGAAGAAATTATTAGAACGATTTGACAAAGTACCTTTCCTGATTTGTTTAAATAGATTTTATTCATGTGTTCAAAAAAAGAGAAGGACGTACGAACATATGCAGCTAAACTCCAGGCCCTAGCTGCTGAAACTGAGATTCCCCAAGAGGAGTAGATGCGGAAGAAACAGCAATAATCCAGCAAATACAAACCAAAGAATTAGATGAGCGCCTGAAAGCTCAGTTTTTAAATTGCATAGATCTGAAAATTAGACAGAGAGTAATGTCACGAGAGCCGGCGACGTTTGACGCTGCTCTCCAGGTTGCAATAAATGAAGAAATGATAGAGTCTGACTGCACACCTCTGCACCATCATCAGACCCATAGGAGAAGTCGCAGTCTCATATGTTTGAACTGCAACAGGAAATTTATATTTTTCTTAAAGAGGAAGACCACAAATATGCTGAAAATTTTGTGATTGAAGATTTTTTGGTAAAACTAGCGTACTTATGTGATATTTTAGAAAAGCTGAATGCTCTGAATCTCTCCCTGCAGGGAAGCAACAAGCACCTTTTAAAGTCGATTGAAAAAATTTTAGCTTTTTTAAAGAAATTAAAACTATAGAAAAGAAAAATAAATGAGGACAGAGGAAAGGATGTTTCTCCTTGTTGCAACAGTGTTTGACTTCCAATGGACTTAATTTCTCTTGAGGTATGAACTCTATTTTTGAATAACATTTATCACAGCTTATCACCTAGTTTGATAAATATTTTCAAAATGATAATATAAATTTGCATGGATTCAAGATCCGTTTAATGCCATTGCTCCATCTGAATTTACTGCTGCAGACGAAGAGAATCTTATTGAGTTGCCTTGTGACAATGCATTTAAAATAAAATATAGCAGCATGAAATTAACTAAACTTTGGATATCAGTAAAAGATGAATATCCTTTCTGAGTGGTACAGCTCAGAGAATCTTAATTTCATTTGCGACTTCTTATTTGTGCAAAGCTGAGTTTGTCAATGTGATAAAAACTAAGCATTGCACAAATATCAATGCAAAGAAGGAAATGAGGGTGGCTATGTCCAGTTTGATTCCAAGGTTTGAGAAAACATGTGGTAATCAACAGGCTCATCCATCCCACTAATTATAATTAATTGAATTTGTTCAATTACATTTTTTATTGCCTTAAATACGTGTTTTATTTATTTTTTACTTAACATCCTAACTCTTTAATTAAAAAAATATTGGCTATTTTGCAAATTGTAAGTGAAGATCTTAGTGATGTTCTTTCCCAACTCTGTCTTGTTGAGTTGGTTTCCATGTGTATCACGATTCAATGTAGTGATCCAGGTTCAATGGAAAGCACACCTCCACACTCAAATTGATAATATTTACAGTTTATTTATAGGTTCTATATGTAGAAGGTACAAGTTCAAAAACATAATATATATACGATAACAATGCGTGGTGACTCACGTACTAGATTGATTTCTGGGAACTTTAAACTTTGAAGAGCCCTCAGTCAGCTCGTGGAGTTGGCTCAACTGCATGGTCCGTCTAGTCTCCACACTAACCCGTCCCTGAGATGTTTACCAGAGGAGAACACTCTCTCTACGCTCAGCGGGATTCCTAAGTGCCTGAGACTACCGTGTACCAGTCTCTTGCCCTTCTCTTTCGTTCACCCCGCAATTTAAGGGTTTTTTGGACGGGGACTTCTGACCAATCACAACCCCTTCTTGCCCGAACAGTTTACACTCAGGTCCACCGTCATCCGACGAAAGTGAAGCTTACATAAACGTCCACCACTTGTTTACATTCAGTTGTTTACCATATGGCAAATTGTCTAACGTCTGACTACAGGTGGGTCCAATTGACAAAGACGGCACTCTTCTTGTTTTCCCTCTGTTTACAAGTCAACACCTTACAAGTGGTATATTACCCGACCACAAGAGGGTCCAATTGACAAGGTCGCGCTTCTTTTGTTCCCTCTCTGCTAAAAGGTCAATGAAGACAGAGGAAAGTACTTGTACTTGTTAGAATTTGACATAGGAAAAAATTTGCCTTGTATATAGTGCCTTGTGAAAATCTGAATTTAGCAAGGGTACCGAGAATCAAAAGAGTTTGGAAACCACTGCAATATAGCTGCTGGCATGTATCTCCTAATAATGATACATTATAAGGATGTCAATGCAACTTTGTAATGACATGGTGCTGTGTTCAGTATGGAACCGTAGTGTTTATCTAATTCATCTGTATTCATATGAAATATCAGAAAAAATGATGATAATGGACCTATCAAAGGATGGAAGGTACATAGGAAAATAGGTTTGAGTTAAAACTACCAACAATTTTGACTTACCAGTGTTGTTTGGGACACAAGGGGACACCTTAAATGTGCTATAAATTGTACCAATTTTGTAATCATTCTGTGAACAGATTCTTGAGAAACAGCTTGAATCTGAATTGTTTGTTAATTGATTATAGATAAGTTAAGATAAATATTAATAACTATAAAACCTTAATGGTTTCTTAATGAGATATTATTGAATATTTATTTATATGAAGTCAAATAGTATCATAGATATATTGATTATTAAAATAATATTCGAGGTTTGTCTGATTATTATCTGACCAATGATTTATCTTTATAATTAATTTTGCTATTGCAATGAAATTGTTAGATGTATCAGAAGAGATGTTACTGCACATACATGGCAAAGCATTGCCATGCATGTGCAGTAAATAAATATTTTCTGGGAATTATTTGTCCCCACTGTTCTTGTCAACAAACAAAAAAGAGGATTAATGCCGATATCTGCTATTAAACATCTTTTGAAGAAGTGGGAGGGTGTCAGAACAAAGGTCTTAGAATGACATTCAAACAAGTTTGAGGTTAATAGTCTTAAGGATTTCTACAATTACAATGCTATTAATTACTTCTGAAAAATCTTGAAGAGAGAACAGTAATCAACATTAGACAGATCCTTTAACCCCCACAAATGGAAAAAACATGACTAATAAAAATGCAAGACTGTGTATATATGAATTTTTATTATTACATATAAATAAACGTAGTAAGAAAGTGTATATTTTTTATGTTTTGGGTCTCCAGAATAAATTAATCAAATTCCCATAAAAACCTATGGTAAATCTATAATTGGTTAATGAACAAGTAGGATAGCAAACAAAGTCTTGGAACAGATTATGTTCATTAACCGATCACCCACTGTATCTTCAAATGTATACAATTAAACGTTTAACTTTATTTCAAGTTCATTTTAATATGGTTTTAATATAATCCCTCATAAATGCAATAGAAATTGCACAAAATACCAGACATAAAATAAATTCACCAGAATCCTAGATTTTGAATAAAACATGGTCTCAAAACCAATTTTACTTATAGACACACAAAATGCATTGAGTTTATGGGCAAAAATAAATTCAAATTAAGAAAGTTTGAATTACCAAAAGTAAGCTGTGTATTGTATATATTGTGGGTATAGAACCATAAGAAGATAACCTGTAAAACCATAATTTTTAGAAAATAGTATTTAAAGATTGCCCACTAAAAATTTTTTTATGAAATTGTTTAGAAGTTAATATATCTGCTTATGGTCACAAATAGAAAGAGTTGAATATGATAGGAATATTCTATTATTGAAAAGCTGCAGAATTTAGAGTTAGCTGCTTATGATTCTACACCCATATTATATATACAGTAGACTTTTGATGAGTCATTTGCATTATTGCTCAACAACATTAAATTGCTCAACATGTTCAGTCATCACAAAAAAAATCAGAAATGCAACAGACATATCCACAATATGCAATCTCACAGCCAAAAAAAATGTGGGCACAGCAATGCAGCTTGCCATGCATGTGCAGTAACATCTCTTCTGATACATCTACCAATTTCATTGAAATAACAAAATTAATTATAAAGATAAATCATTGGTCAGATAATTATCAGACAAACCTCGAATATTATTTTAATAATCAATATGTCTATGATACAATTTGACTTTATATAAATAAATATTCAATAATATCTCATTAAGAAACCATTAAGGTTTCATAGTTATTAATATTTATCTTAACACATAAAATATATAATATAAAATTATGAGATGAAATAAATCCATTATTATTATTTATTAATGATAATGTATTCAAGTCATTTATATAGTCAATAGTGTTATATAGTTCCAAGATTTGGGGTTTTGATTGAAGAGAGAAAGATAATAATTTACAAATAAATTTTATTAAGCATCTGTATTCCTTAAAAAGATGGATTCCATCATACATTATATATTTTACAGGTGCAATACAATATGTTAAAAGAATGATGGCTCTATGTTCAGAATATTGTAAATTTTGTTACTCTAGTGTTAATTTCAATGCTTTTCATTTAGTAACAGAATGTAAGACTCTGATGTCTGTTAGACAAAAGTATTTTGGTTCAGATTATTTATTGGTTCAATCTTATAAGCAATTGTTGTATGATTATAATAAATATGATTGTATTTATAATTTTATTGCTAAATTAAACAGTTAATGGGAATTAACTTGTTTAGTTTAAGATATTCTTTTTTTTTTTTTTTCAGATTTATAACCACCAAGAGGTGTGGATATGGTATATTAATGGCTGTTTCAGTGTTTGAGAGTTGGCAGTGTGTTTGTTTGGCACTTTTGGGCTTATTATAATTATCAATTTATTTAATTTTCAGGTAATTTAATTGCTTAATTTCTTATATAAAAATTTTTAGAACTTTAGTTTGCATCAACTATTTGCTGCCACTTTTGTGTATATTTTATATTTTTTGGTTATGATTATTATCATTGTTGTGGGTATTATTTATTATAAAATTTTGTATTTTCACTTTTAAATGCAATTTTTATATCATAACAATTATTCTATAAACAAATATATAAACTATTAATAGAGAATTTGATATCAATTTTTCATTTCAATAAGATTAGGAAAATTTCTGTTTAAAAACAAGACATTATTTCATTAATAAATATTTAATAATAAAATAATTTTGTTTAATTCTGTTTACTTAAATATACTTTACATAAAATATAAACAAAATTATGTAATCATACCTGTTTAATAATCCAATCCAAAGATTTAAAAAAATATTGATTAATCATGTTTTCAAGAAATGTTTGATATTCATTTGGTTGTTGTTGTATCCATGATGTGACTAATGCTTGAATATCTGTATCTTGTTCACTAAAAAATAAAATTTTTATTACGATTCAATAACATTTATAAAATAATATTCTAGTTATTATTTCTCAATAAATGTCATAAACATCATAAACATGCAGCTCATTCTAAAACTGAATCAGGAAAATTTACAAAAAAATAAAGCTAATATAGAATAAAAAAATTTCTTATCAACTTAGGTAAAATTTTGTATTGTTTTCAGATAAAACCCATTTCCAAAATTTTTTGCTTTTGGATAACAAAACGAAAGTGAAATGCTCCCTTTCACTAAAAAACAACTTAATTTTCTTTATAATATATATCATCTATAATTTTATTTTGAAAGAATGATTGAGATTTACTTAATAATTTAATTTCAACTTTCAATTAAAACATAATTCCTAGAAATATCTCTAATGTTTATTAATTAGTATATTTTTTAGTTGAATAAATAAATATCTACAGATAGATTTAGTATATATCTCCAAATCACAGTCGGAAATCTTTTCATTTTCTTTTAGTACTCGCAAGTTTGAAAAATATTTAAAATTGGATTGTGCCAGTGAAGATTTAAATAGCTCCATTTTTACTTAAAAGGCAATTATGATTGTTCCAGCTTGAACAATTGTATCGTTTTTTTTCCTTGCAAACACTTCTGTACTATATTAAATTTCAAATAAAAGTCTGCCAAATAGAACAGATGGTTCTTGCACTGTTTTAACTTGTTACATAGTGATGGATCCACATTCCTAAGAAACTCTTCAGCTGAGTCGTACAAGTCAACAAGCCTCTGCAAACTATCACCCCTTGACAATCACCTTACCTCAGTGTGCAAAAGTAATTGGTTGAAAGTTTCATCATTTTCTTCACATAACTTCGCAAACGGTCTGGAATTGAGAGGATGAGCATTAATTTTATTTATTGACCTGATGCACACTTTTAGAGTATCATGAAGTTTGCCACTCAGTTTTTTGGCTACAAGATGCTGCCTGTGTAGGACACAGTGAACAGTATGTACTTTAGGAACCTTTTCCTTCAGAAAGACGAAAAATCATCTGTAACGGCCTACAATAGCAGGTGCACTGTCAGTAGCTACTGCAGTAATATTCCCGAGAGGAATGCTGTGCTTGTTCAAATAATCTTGCAAACATAAAAAATTGTCTCACCTTTTGAATCAGTTTCAAGATACTTAGCAAATAGAAATTCATCAACAGTGTCATTCAGGGATGGGCTATGAAACCTAACATAAGCCATGAGAAGATTTGAACTTCCAAAAGTTGATTCATCAAGTTGAATAGCAAACTTACAATGCTGGAGCTCAGAGGTCAAAGTTCTTTCTATATTATCGGCCATTTCCTCAATACATTATTGCACAGTATTTGCACTTAATGGTATGCATTTTAAAACTAGTTGAAAGTCTTTCTTCATAACATTTTCAATTATATCTTTTATAGCTGGTATTATAATCTCTTCACCACTAGTATATGGTTTGCCTTTCTTTGCAATATTAAGAGAGATGCTGTAGGATGTCTTCAGTCCTCCTTCTCTATCAACACTAGCAGATGACTTCAAATATGTATTCAAATTTGGCCGAACTCTCAATTTCTCTTTTAGTATTTTGAAATACTCAAAATCTTTGTTTTTCTTATCAGAATGGATCCATTCCAAGTTGTCTTTCATTTTTTCCGGCTTTATAGCATCATTGCTTAAAGTTTTTTCACATAATAAGCACATAGGAATAGTTTCATTAGCAAAAACCATATTTCAAATACTCCTTGAATATTGTCTTCTTAGCATTGGTAGCCGACATTGTGGGTATTAAAATCAGATTTTTAATATGGAAAACACAATACGTTTGCAGCACAACAAAACAGCAGCAGTAAGAGACACAACTTACACCTGCACAAGCTATAAAGAACTGCCTGTTTATTCCCAGAGTGCAGTGTTACCACCTTTTGCTAACAATAGATATTTAGAATTAGAAGGAATTATAATTGTTATAAACTATTAAACTAAAGATATTAATAAATGTACGTGATTTTTTCATATGAACATAATGATAATTTGATTTTTGGTGAATTTTTTAAATAATATTGCCTGACTGACCTATATTGCCATTGGACAGTTTACAAAATAAACGTAAACAAGATGGCAATGATAAAGGGTTAATGATTTTCGATATATTACGATATTTTCTCTGTAAAGAACAAAATATCTACATTTAGATATAAAATACTTAAAGTGACAACTCTACTAGAGTGTAACAGTGCAACGTATGTCTGTGTATAATGAACTACCAGCGTTCATAACATGTTTGCAACACTAGTACAGTTGCCAGATGCATGAAAACAGAGTAACACAGCATGTGTTACTCTGTTTTCACGCATCTGGCAACTATAGCAGCATAGGCTAAGGCAAAACTCAAGTTATAACTAAGGTAGTCAGTAATGTTGATCATATCCATATTTCAAATTTTTATTGTAATATTCTATTTTTTCCTAGACAGTTTAATTGGTATTAATCAACTCCCTTTCGACCTTTGTGTATTAATCGACTGACCCCTGGAGAACTCTTATCGACTCCAAGGGGTCGATAGCAACCACTTTGGGGACCCCTAGATTAGATCTTTCACTTTTCTTGTAAATAATTTTTAATAAAACTTTCATCCATATCTGTGGAAAAGACACTGCCTCTTTAATTTTATTGAACAAACTAAGAATTTCTAAACAGACCATTCTCGGCAATGATTGAATAAATTCATTTTTCACTCTGTCCATATCAGGCCTTTTTTAATCTTTGAATTGCCATTTTTAGTTTATCAAATGAGAAAGGATCATCCAAAAGAAGAGAATAATTATCATAATCCATAGTAAGCAAAACACTGAGACTGCCACTGTTAAAATTCAATTTCAAAAAATGTATCCATCCCTCAGTAGAAATCTGACTCTCCACAGTCCACTTAACACACACTTGATTTATAATTTTCCAAAAGTCGCCTGACAACCTTATAGTTTGCAACTGTTTACTTATATTAATCCAATATTTTATCTTCTTGGATCTACATAATGAACAAAAATGTGAGGCCCTGGAAATAGTTTATATTTAAAAAGAAAAGTATATTTTAATAAATTATAAAACAACAAGAAAACAAATATTATAAGTGTCGAGTTGGCAACACTGGACTTTGACATCGTTATTCATATAGAATAGAGAAAAGGAAATGAATCAAAGAACAAAATAAATAGAAAAAGGGAATTGTTTAGAACTTAAAATGCAAAATGGAAAGAGGAAGCAATACGACAAAATATGAGTGCAGGTGTCTTAGTCATTGGTAAATCACGATCAGAGTCAAGTAGATGATATTAGATAAACCATCTCAGGCAGACCTTTCTTGCAATCCAAACTAGTCTCAAATTCCACTTGGAGACAGGTAAGAGACCAATAAAGGAGCAGAAGGGGAAAAGCTTGATGAATAAGGGGAGAGAAAGATATAAAATCTCTGTGTTACAAAGGAAGCCATTCAATGTACCTGTTCAATCCGAGAAATCCTCCACTACTAATCATCGCCTTTCCTCTGCCAACACCAAGAGGTGCCCAACTCACCCATGTTCAAGTTCCACTATCCAACCATGAACTCACCACTGTCCTGGGGCTGCCCCAAAAAGGAAGAGAAAGAGAGACTGACTTCGAAGATATACAACAACCCTGATGAAACTTCATATTTACCGGATCTATCATGTATTGATGTAAGCATTCTTTGACAAAATAAATGGTCTTTTTGTTAACACTTGTCTTCTCTGCATCCGGAAACCACCACCCACATATGTGAGGGCCCTAAACTATTCTGACAAAGAGTAAAATTTCCTCCTCTAATCAGTGTACTTACAAAAACTAATTTTATAATTAATATATTTAACCAAATTCTCATTCAAGCAAGATCTACAAAACTCCCTCAATGCCCTATTTTTTCTTTTTTTCACAATTTTAGTCTTTCAAACCATCCAAGACTAACTCTGCCTCTTATCCCAAATTTTGTTACTAATGTGAACCGCCGGGGAGGTTGGAAGTCTCCCTTTCTGGTGACAGGTCGTTAAACCTGCTCACTGTTAAGATGGCTTAAATGTTTCTTTTTCCCTATCCTGTGGTAACGAGATTTAATTGTTCAGATCGAGTGGAGGAGGGAGGAGTGCCGTCGGTAAGGTGACAGGCAATATACGAGTAAAAGAGGACACCAATTTAACAAGGAAACAACGATTTATTAGCTATCTACATAGACGGTACAATAACTATTATCGAGGGGAAATTCTGAGTCCCTAAAACGCGAGGGGCTGAGAGAGAGTTCACAAAAATTTGTTCCATACCTCTTTCTGTTGATAGTTCTCTTGAGGAAATTAATAGTATATGTAGGACACAATATTCGTAGGATACAAGGTTCGTAGGACACAATATATAAAAATAGGACACAGTATCTAAGTGACAGTGGATGAATGACTCCCCTGAGAGGGGGAAGCAAGTGGCTTTTATAGTTTCGTCGTGGGAGAATGGTCATGTGGCCAATTGTTGTGAGGTAAAAGGTACGCGGATGGATCAAAGTTGTCCCCAGGAGCATGCTAACTGTCAACTTTGGAGTTGGAATGTGGGATTATTTTCGAAGTGGACAGATGTTTACTTTGAACGAAAGAAGAGATTGGAATTTTTCCGTTTTTCACGTTAGGTTTTTAGTTTAGGTTTTAAAGGAAAATTTAATTGGGGGCTTAGGAAAATGCGGTAAAAATTCCAGATTTCACACTAATCCACATTGCCTAGCAGATTTCCAAATTACAGTAATGATTAACGAATAAGTTAATTCTATATTGTCAATAGGCTCTACAGTTGTAACAAGTTACTAACTGCTTGAGTAAACAAGTTTACTTTTTCTTTTTTCAAAGTCAACCTTTCCTTTTGTTCTCATTGAATAGCATCACTTTTTCTTGTGTTATCAAACAATAATTCTAGTGCTACCACAAGATGGTTCAACATGTAGTTCTCAGAAATGTAAAAATCCTCAAGATGCTCAATCAGTCCCTCACTCAATGCTAATAAGTATATCACTGATGCTACCAATTTGGATATGTATGTAAAATTAGCTGGGGAATCATGAGGGTAATGACCATTTATTATATATAAATTATAGTCTTTAACCAACTCAATAAACTGGTTGCCCACTTATTGTTAATGAAATTTTTTGATAATTGTGAATTCGAAATAATATTCCTATGAAAAATATTGCCCATTTTCATATGAATCCTGGCATTTGAATAACCTAATACGAGAAGATCATGATAAACAGAATAACTATAAATCAAATCTTCCAGATTGGCCAGTATGTTATTAAAAACAGGCATATGCAGATAATCTATATATATAAAAATGAATGTGTGTGTGTGTGTCCTTCATGCATTACCACACTGTTTATCCGATTGCCGTGAAACTTTGGGAAGTTGTTTAATATACTCCAGCGAAGGTTTGTGGCATAGTACGATTGCCACGAAACTTTGGAAAGTTTTTTAATACCCTCCCGCAAAGTACATTTATCCTACGATAGATGGCGCGCGTTTACACGAGCGTTCGAGCACTGTGTGTTCGATCCATTTCAAATTGTGAAGACCATTTCCCCCTTTCAAAAAATATCTCTATATATGCATTTGTTATTTACAATATTTGTAACAATTTTTGTTTAATCACTTTATTTCAACTTTTTTTGCTAATTACGTATTCGCTCGAACTTCGTTAAAACCTTAACTGTACCCCGAACAACAACCGAAGTTGTAGGAAGAAATTTGCATATTTTACCGATCTAGGTATCCCCCCCTTTTCCAAATTTTAATATCGACTCAAAATAATTTAAAAAGACAAATTAGAATAAAGCAGTTTATTATCCAACTATCAGAAATTTCACAACATGCCAAAGAAGAGAGGAAGGAGCAATTAAATAATGAAAATTATAAAGGATTTTTAAAAATATATAAAAATGAGGAATATCGCACTTCTGACAATCGCTGCGAGTGTGTGGGTTAAATTTGGAGAATCCGTGCTTCTCGCTTGGACAACTGNCATGCCACATTGTTAGGAAATTCCTGAATACAGACACTGACACACTTATTTAATTTGTTTTGGTTGCTATGCCTTGGCTCTAGTCCGGCATAGTACACAGCCACCGGTTTAAGCCGAGTATTACCCACTAAACCCAACACAATAATAATAATAATATAATAAGTTTCAATAAAAATGATAAAATGAAAATTTAATTTTATCATAACGAGTTTGCTTGAATTTCCTTTCTTCTGAGATCGCAGCAATGCGCGACGGGTAAGCTAGTATAGAATAATAATAAGGTTTTGAGAATTGCTGAATTTCTTTTGATCAAAAATTAGTCTTGACTAATTAATGATTAAATATTGTGTTGTCTTAAACAGAACCACATCTTCCATTTATACAAAGAAGAAAACTTCCTGATGGCCTTCCTCAACCTGAAGCCTTTGTTGCCAACTTTTCAAATACCCTTATTGTTGGGTAAATCTTATTTATTTTCAATCTAACTGAAAAACTAAGACTTGTCTTCATCAGGCCCAAAACTGAAAACTGCAGAAGATAATCAATAAATTCTGAGTCATTTAAATTAATATAGGGGTTCCTTGGAAATTCCATGCCACAATTTTTACTTCAGCTTATGAAAGTTTTGATTAAACTCAAAGTGAGAGTTTGAGGTCCCAAGTTCAAAGTTGGAAACAAAAAATTAAGATTCACAAGCTCACCCCTCTCTAAATCTATAGTACACTTTTCAGAATCAATTGTCAAAACATCTGTGATTAATCAAACTTTCCTCTTTTCAGATTTTTACTGATGATAGAACGGTAATAGCTTTTTGCATCTTAGTCTAGATCTCTAACACATGTCATTAAAGATCTTAATTTTTGTAAATTTTGCATGGTTTTTAAGATTATTTATTCTTTTAAAAATTAACTTTTTATTCAATGACAACGATAACTTAACCAACATATTATTTGATTTATAAAGCTTTATCCTTTCCATTGAAATAGTCCTAGGTTCTTCTACTATTACTGTAAACAACTCTTGTATGTTACTACTCAGATCATCACCAGTCTGTCAGACCCAGAATTATTATATATTTTCTCCACAACTCATTCATCAGTGAGTCAACACTATGCAAAAGCAAACTATCTTTACTTTGAGATTCCTGCTTAAGATTGAAACTAAAGTGGAGGAAATTTAAAAATTTTTAAATTCCTCCAGTTTAGTTTCTATCTTATTCAACCTTTCATTGCTTTCATTATGTAAATTAACAAACCAATTGATTCTAGCAGATACCTCACTTAAAGCATTAAGGACAGTATCACCATTCATCTAAATATGAAAGTATTTTGTTAGGAATTGACTTACTAGATTCAGATTTAGCAGGAAAAAATCATCCAATTTTGCAATTTTCAAATGTAGGTTTGCTAGGCAAACAATGTCTCTTGCTCTTAACATTAGAAAACTGAACTGGTAAATCAGGCAAAGTATGAGATAAAGAACCAGGATTTTCCTCTGTTCCACTGAGAACCAACAGAAATATTGATGCAACCACAAAAAAAGTAATATTTTCTATAACCTTTAGCTTTCCAAAAAGTCACTAACAAACTTCACCAACACACTCAGCTGACTACAGAGCCCCATAAAAAATCACAATACCAAAACTGAATTGTACTATACAACGAACTTGTATTATATAGTAACAAATATTTTCAACTTAATATTTTGTGTATGTAATCTATAGTTAGGCTTACCAGACACCCTGGTTTGACGATGTGTCAAACCAGATAATGTGTTGTCCCAGTGTCCCGGCCAGTTTGTCATTTTATCCCGGTTATTTGGTAAAATTTTAAGTGCCAAATATACAATAAGTAAAAATAGTGCAGTCTCGAGTAAAATGGCGATTTGGCACTTACCCCTCTGTTACACTCACTATTGCCAATCTAAATATTTTCTATCTAGATCTAAGTACTTTTAATGCTGTCTATATGTTTTCCTTCAAAATTTATAGCATATGGCCTAATTAATTTAGATGTTTTATTTTGTCATTCAGATATTTTTTCACAGAATTTATAATAGCACGAAGCTGATGAGATCCAGATATTTTTATTTCATTTTTTTTAGATATTTTGTTTCAATTAGAGTTGGCAAGACTGAAACTTACATTGGCCACATCATTGCTGCACATGTCATATCTTAGTCGAGTTCAAATTGCTGATTGGTATTTGCAATTATTTCGTACAGTATATTAAATTCATTTAATCTCTAAAATGCTAAAAAGAAACCATGTGTTTACTGATAATTAAAAAAAGTCTGTGATCGTATTGACAAAGTGAAATATGAACTGTGCTTTTCAGAATTTTCAGTAACTCATAGTGGGCATTCAAACATTAAAAATCACTTGAAATGTGTGAAACATAAGGCAAGCAATAGGAACTTCCTCAAATGTACTGTCATATTTTAAATGTACCGATTTAAACAAGAAAGAATTTTTTAAAAAGTTCACATTAGTGATAAATATTAATAATAAGATATGTTTATTTCAGTTATTAAAAATTGCTTTTAACTCGTTGTTTTTGTTAACTACTACTTTATTTAGCCTTTTCAATCATAGGTACTGTACTTATCTGAGTAGGCTAATTTTCTGTTGCAAATATTTTCTCAAAATTGTCCTGGTTTGAGAAAAAAAATATTATGGTAAGCCTATTTATAGTATTTAGTAAACTTTAAGTTTACTGCATACTGTAGATTACATATACCATATTTACTTGCATATAAGATGAGGTTTTTATTCATTTTTCACTGCTTCAAAAACCTAGGTCGTCTTATTTGTGGAAACGAAGGATTCTTTGTGTTTTTGCAAATAATTTTTGTGAACCGTATATTCATATTTTTTAACAAATGCTCACCCTCTAGAGTTTAAAAACAAAAGTATTTTATTTTACTTTATGAATAGCAATAGGAAAAACGAAAGCTTTTGAATTATTGAATTTTAAATTGAAATTCCAAAATCGCATGGTAGCCAAATATAAGTTTTAATCCATTCCCAGGTGAAAACAGATGATTTCAGAAATCAGAATTTGGCGAAACACATAAGTATAATCGATGGAGAGTGGATTCGACTGTTAAGAATTGGCGAAAAAGATTCTGATTGTCCATGAACAAATTATGTTATTGATTTTACAAGATTTTTTCTTAAAGTTTAAAATGCCAGTAATTTTTGCAGGACAATGTGTGCATTTACATGCATTTGATATTTTATTGGTGATTAAATGAAATAAAATTAAAATTGTATTAATAAATCGAATTTTCTTTATTTTGATCTTTAAAGTCACGCCTTGTCCTATATGTGAGATTGTATTACACAAGTAAATACAGTATATATAAGACAAATAAATTAAAAATTTACCTTAAGAAGATAATTCCCATTCTTGAAATAGTAGCAGGTGAGGCATTATTTAAATCATCTGTTTCAAACAGAAAATTAACATTTTGACCAAATTGTATTCTTTCACCTGATGGCAATGTTAATAAATGGTTATCATCAAGTACTGAATTCAATGATTCTATCCATTCTGGATCTATATCACCATCACATATAATCCAAGAATGAACATCTAAATATAAAATATTTATAATTAATAAAAGAGAATTGTCATTAAATTACTACATTAATGAATTATTTGAGATATTTGATAAAATGTGACCTATTTATTCATATCATAATAAAGCATAAATTGAAAAAATAATATTTAGTATTCAATAAAAATAATAGTTATTGTTATATTTATTAATTTTTATATATGTGAAACATTGGATTTTAATCTCAATCAACAACAGCACAAAATTTTGCCAAGATGTTGACACTACTCAAATAAAGGTTTCAGGAATATTAGTTTTCCTCATCTATAAGAATGATAAATTTGTTACTAAGTTAGATAAAAGATCATACACTCAAAATAAATAGTAAAACGCCACATAATTCAGTCTGTATGATATATAAATATATATGATTAGATGCACAATAATGATATACAGAATACTGTATTTTTGCAGAATGACTAACATGCTGGATACCTGAGTTGCCAGCATACTGATTAAACTGCAACTATCAGATATAACAAAACTAGTTGTTAATTAGATGTTAAAGATAACATTCTTCTGAATACAATAAAATAATAACATTGTAATTTGACTGACTTAAAATCAGAAAGAGAGTTTTTGTTTACAAGACAATAAAATAATTAATGACTTATTGACATTAATAGTAGTAATAGTAATAGTTAGTCAGTGTGGATTACCCTGACCATCTACCCTGACTTTAAAAATAACACCTTCCTCTCAGGTTTCACACAAAGCCATTGTTAACAGGTGTAAGCTGAGATAATTTACAGTGAGTTTCTTAAATTTAATGTGTTTATTTTTGCGTTTTTGAATCAAATAACAATAAAAATGCACTTTCAAAATTCCACAAGTATTTTACGTTGTTAGAAAGAAGACAAAATAGAAAGAAGAAATTAAACATATAATCATAGTTTTTGATATAATGACAAGTTTCAGTTTTAGAATAATAACTCATTTGTTTTTTAGTGACATAGCTCATTGATTTTATTTTTAATGCACCCTCTAGAGAGGGATGTATATACTTACTTAAACCAGCATTTTTTTAGTTTTTACCATATGGAAATATCTGATTTCTTGGTCTCCCCATTCCATGAAAATACAGTATGAATTCTTTATATCATTATTGAAATGGAAAATTTCTCATAAAAAGAGAGAATTGATATATATCTTGCTGCTAAAAGAAGCATCAAAATACCTATGAAGCATATATTTATCTTATTTTGATAAGATAAAGAGGGATAATCACAAATTGATACCATCAAGATGAGCTAAATTTAATATTTTCAATCATTATATTGATTTAAAATTATTTTGTCAGAATGACTGCTGTAATAAAATTTAATCAAAGAAAATTTTAAAAATTTATAACCAAAGTAATATATAATATTGACCAAATAAATATGAAATTAAAATAATAATAAACATATAGTGGGCATTCAAACATTAAAAATCACTTGAAATGTGTGAAACATAAGGCAAGCAATAGGAACTTCCTCAAATGTACTGTCATATTTTAAATGTACCGATTTAAACAAGAAAGAATTTTTTAAAAAGTTCACATTAGTGATAAATATTAATAATAAGATATGTTTATTTCAGTTATTAAAAATTGCTTTTAACTCGTTGTTTTTGTTAACTACTACTTTATTTAGCCTTTTCAATCATAGGTACTGTGAGTAGAAATACATACATA